TCACAGTCTTTTAAAACGAGAGAGAGAGAGAGAGAGAGAGAGAGAGAGAGAGAGAGAGAGAGAGAGAGAGAGATGAAAACGTAGGATGATACAGGCTGCTGACTCATGAGCCGTGTAGAGCTTATCCTTCTCACACTGTGTGTGTGTGTGGTGTGTGTGTGTGTGTGTGTGTGTGTGTGTGTGTGTGTGTGTGTGTGTGTGTGTGTGTGTGTGTGTGTGTGTGTGTGTGTGTGTGTGTGTGCGCGTCCCTGCTGGTTTACTACTGCAGGCGTCATTGCTGCATGATAAAAGCAAAAAGGCACGGTGACCCAGAATACAAATTCAAATTGTTATTCATTAATGTTCTTTCTCAGATCCTCATGCAGCTTCTTACAGCTTTGTTTTATGAACGAGGTAACATTATAGAAGGAAAATGGAAAATAATTTTTTGTGGATTTTTATGTTTTAAAATCTATTTTTGTTGTTGCACAGAGCTCCAGGTTTAAAATCTAGAACAGAGTTTAAAGTCTGTGTAGATAAGAAAATCCTAAATTAATTTACACTTCACTGAATTTCTTTGGTTTTACAATTCTAAAATCATCACCTAATGAGGTAATATCTATGCTTTCTGAAAGGTCATTTGTCTGTAGTATTAGTTAAAAAAAACTGTTTGGCTGGCTTTCTTCAAAAATCATCATCAGATGTTCGTCCACAGTGTTTGAAGTTGATCTCTTTCAAGATGGCCGCTACAGTTGATGAATGAAAATGAACTTTTGTAGATATTGATATTTACTGTCGTGTGTTAGAAACACTTAGGCTACTGCCCCGCGACCCGACTCCGGATAAGCAGATGAAAATGGATGGATGGGTGTTAGTAACACACCAAATATTAATTTGGAATAGAAATATCTGTTTTGTCCCACATTGGAGAAATTCAGGTGTACCAAGAGCAGCTCAACGTAGGCTAAATCTGAGTATGTCCACACAAAAGACAATAACAAGAATAAAAGTAGTTCCTGTGTTTACATCGATGCAGGCGTTGTACCGGTCTGTCGTGGTGAAGAGAAGCTGAGCCGGAAAGTGATTTGCCAGTCAATCTGCATTCCTACCCTCACCTAGTCACGGGCTTAGGGTAGGGACCGAAATAATGAGATTGCGGATACAAGCAGCCTAAATTTGCTTTTTTTGCAAGATGGCTGGGCTCCTAAAGGAAGACTCAGGACACGTTGGAGGGACTTTGTCTCTCACCTGGCTTAGCTTCATACTCTTGCATTAAAGAAAGTAAGCAATAATCATTCCTCAAACAAAATCAGGGCTTTCCTATTAATAATAGTTTAAAATTGTTTCCATAGTTATTTAACAGATACACTGCACTTGTCTGTCCTATTCAAGCACTGTTACAGATTTTAAACAACATAAGACTTTTCTTGATTTGTAAAAACAAAATATTACTTCGTTTATCTCATACACATGAAGGCATCATATTCTAGCTACTCACACACACACACATCTATGGGTGCACTAAGGTTTGTCTCATGGAACGTACATGGAGCTGGCTCCAGAGAGAAGAGATTAAAGATTTTGATCAGTTAAAAAGAGTGCAAGCAGACGTGATATTATTACAAGAGACTCATAGATCTGCCACATTTGCAGATGAACTTAAAACATCTGAGTTTCCCAGCATGTTCTCTGCCTACTATCACTCTAGGCAAAGAGGTGTAGCTATTTTAATACACAAAAACATCAATTTCACAGTACTGGACAAAGTTTCAGATTCAGAGTGTAGAGTTATAATTCTAAAAATATCTATACTGAACCAAAGCTTATGTATTGTCAGCATATATTGTCCAAATATTGATGACCCTTCATTCTTCCATAATTTTTTCTCTGTACTCTCCGAACACTTGGACTGTCCACTTATACTTGGAGGCGATTTTAATTTTTGCATGGATACTTTAACAGACAGGCTCAGTTCAGCTGGGACTCAGCGCAAATGGCAATCCATCAATATAGTTAAACAGTACATGAGTGATTATGGGCTTTGTGATGCATGGCGATCTCTTCATCTCAACCGTAGAGAGTATACTTTTTTCTCACACGTCCATCACTCTCATTCACGTTTGGATTATTTTCTAGTTAGCGGCTCATTGTTGGCTGACATTTCAGACACTGAGGTATACCCTATAATTGTTAGTGACCATGCTCCTGTTTCTTTAACTCTGGTAAATAAGAAGATACTCCCACTGATAAAAAACTGGAGGTTTAATACATCACTGCTTAAAGACGAAGGTTTTATAGAATTTTTTAAAAAGAAGTGGGCTTTATATTGAGAACATAATGAAGCATCCCCAGAAAAAGAGCAAATTACATAAAGCTAAATTAGAACTTCATGGAATTATTGACAAAAAGACACGATTTTTAGCACAAAGACTATGAATAGAAAACTTTGAACATAGTAATGAATCAGGTACATTTTTAGTTAACCAGTTAAAAATAAAGTAAGAGAAAACTACCATATCTGCTGTTAAAAACTCAACCGAGAATATAGTTTATGATCCTGAAAGGATAAACACTTTCAGAGACTGTTACCAAACTTTGTACTCCACTGATAAACCCATCAGATAACAAGATGAATGAGTTTCTTGACAGGTTAACACTTCCTAAATTATCAGATAGCCCATCTACAATTCTAGACTCGCCTCTAACATCAGCTGAGCTCCAGGAAGCCCTTCAATCCATGCCTAGTAGGAAGGCTCCAGGTCTAGGGCCGGGTCAGGGGGTTTAAGAATTTTGGAGTCTGTCTGATAGATCCCGGTGGCTGCCTGGTGGGATCTGAGTCCCTGGGCTCAGTTGGGTCCCCGGCGGGGCTGGTCGCCCCTGGGTCGTGGGTTGCTGGGTTCCGGGCTCGGCCGGCTTGGGGTGGGAGGCTGCGGGCGGGCCTGTGGGTTTGCCAGTGGTATCTCCCGGGACTCTGCCAGCTGCTGGTTGTGACCGCCGGGACAATCCACTGTGCCTCTCGATATGGGGCTGGGGCTTTTCTGGTTACAATCTCCCTGGGGTACCTGCGCTCTGGGGCAGCTTCTGGATCTCTGGGGCTTGGAGCTCCCTCCATCTCCTACACATCTTTGGGGGACAGATCTGTGGCCCCTCGCACTCTCTATTGGATGCACCTATTGTCACATTATTGCTCCCTGTGCCTTGAGTTTTTCCTTAATTGTGTCCACCTGCCTCTTGTTACCTGATTACCCCAGTGTGTATATAAGCCTTGTGTGTTGCTTGTGGTTTTGTTGGTTCGTACTCGTTACATGTCAGTTTATGTTCACATCTGTCTACCTGTTGTGTCTGCACTCCTGACCATTAAAAAGGAACCAAATGTCTGCTGCTTGTCTGGCCTGGGTTGATTTACCTGCCTGAAGGATCCGTTCTTCCTCCCTCACCTTCCCTCCACACCGTGACACCTATAGAGAAACCTTACATATACAAGCTTGTGTACGCACACAGGTGCTCACATGGTGCTCTCATAAGTATGGACTTGGGCATTTTCAACACATTTCTAAAGGCTGTGGTTGGCAGTTAATGCACTGTGATTTATTATTTATTTTTATTTGTTGTTCACTTTACTGACAAGCACAATCTTTTTTCCCTTTTATCCGGAAAACTTTACAGGTTGCAGATGATGATTCGATATCGGCAGATGCTCAAAAGTGACGACTCAAGGAGAAAAAAATGTGATTGGAACATTCTTAGTCATAACTCATGGGAAGATGCTGCTAAAATGTCATGCTTGATAGTTTCAATACAGGTAGTTAAGATATCAAGGAATAACTCATTAAATGGAACACAATCCATCACCCACCCATGACTCGAACTGGAAACTTGCCTATTCTCCCATTGAGATACTGGTTTGATCTTCGTTTTAAGGGTTAAGAGCCAGGTCACGTTTGCTCCCTTTGTGTATTTAGTCACTGTTTTTAACCCTCATCTTCATCAACTGTTCCAGTTTAATTGGTCTTGTTGCATATCTGTGCACTATGCATGTGCATAAGTTTGTTTGTGATAACAGAAATCACAGACAGCTTAATACAACTTTGTTGTTGTCGTTGTTGTTGATGTTGTTGTTGTTGTTGTTGTTGTGTGTGTGTGTGTGTGTGTGTGTGTGTGTGTGTGTGTGTGTGTGTGTGTGTGTGTGTGCGTGCGTGTGTGTGTGTGTGTGTGTGTGTGTGCGTGCGTGTGTGTGTGTTTATGATTAAACACATCATTGGTCTATTCTATGACTAACCTGGTAGTCTTTTAACATGTTGCCTCATCTTTGTCTGTCTGCTGCTACACAGCCGATCACTCATAGTGCTGAGGAGCTAATTGTCATTGCAGTCATGTCTTTGTGTGTGTGTGTGTGTGTGTGTGTGTGTGTGTGTGTGTGTGTGTGTGTGTGTGTGTGTGTGTGTGTGTGTGTGTGTGTGTGTGTGTGTGTGTGTGTGTGTGTGTGTGTGTGTGTGCATGTGTGTGTGTATGCGTGTTCGTGTGTGTGTGTGTTGTGGAATATTCCACTCTCTTTTTCTGGCTGCAGAAACCAAACACAGCAGCAGTGTGACTCACACCAGCAGCATAATGAGAATCACTCATCTACATTTCACTTTAATGCAGCTTCCTCAGACAAAAGCAAATCATTTGAATAGCAGAACATCATTTTATGAGGACTATCCACTGAGTAACGATTTATTTGACTGCAGATCTGGAATCATTGTTCGATTTAATACTTAAATTGCTCTTTTACAAAAATGTCCCCAAACTAATGAGAGCTCTTTCAGAAACATTTACTTTTATGGTGCCACAACACCTTTAGCCCTCACAGGTGGAAATTATTCTATCCTTTAGATAAAACTGCTGAGCAGAGTATCAGTGTTTACTCCTGCACTTGTCTGCCTTCCTCTCATGAAACATTGTTTTATGAATGGAAGATTTTCTGAGCTGAACGTTCATCCATCACCTGACCTCGTGCTCCTCTTCTCTGTGGTTTCCAGACTTGATCCAGGCCACCCAGGACACCAATGTGAATGTCCCCCAGATGGCCGACACGCTAATGGAGAGGGTCGGCAATGCCAGCTGGGTGGTGGTTTTCAAAGCTTTGATCACCACACACCACCTCATGGTGCACGGCAACGAGGTGAGGCCACAACACATGTTACCTACCAGAGAATATCCAGGAATAATTATATAGGCAGCTTAAGTCACACTCATCTACTTCTGGACCATTGAACGAAAAAATTAATGCAATTCAATGGGACTATAAAAACTATTATATGCCATGGATTTCACATATGATGTCCGTGCATTTTAAATACACATCCTGACACCAAGAAAGGCTTTATTTTCAAATGGGGGCAAAAGTTATTTTAGGTTTTGTGTGAAAGCACGTCCAGGACTACAAATGTGCATCACCAAGTTGATGTCATCGAACAAGGCAGGGAGAAGAGCAGAGGACAAACAGTTGTAAGTTCAGCGTATTTTGAATCCTTCCTTCAGGAGGAAACCATAACTCTGGCCATGTGGTCAGTAGCAGTTACCCTAGGGGAGAGGAGATTCTGTGGTGATGTCAGATATACGACGTGCCAACGTCTGATTTGTAGTCAAAGGAATTATGAACTTTTACAAGCTGATGAATCTCAAAGTACATTACAGGCGTGATTGAAACATGCATCATTACTTTTCATAGTGAAGAACAACATATGCGCGATCCAGGGTGTAAGGCTAAACCGATCAGAAAATAGCTCTTGTAGCTCAGTTAACTTGCATTGACCCACAAGCCGAAGGGAAGGGAGGAGATTCACTATTTACAGAAAAAAATCTGTTTTGTTTTCTTTTAATTTCACTGACAAACATTGATTTTTTCTAAATTTCAACTTTAAACTCACTAAAACTGTTTAAATATCTGCTGTAATACCAAACATGCGCTTGTCTTATTTTTATTGGTCCTTGCTAAAAACAGATCTATTGCTGCTACATTCTAGAAAGCTTATACTGGAGTGATTGTTTTCATGTCCTTGCAAAAAATATTATAAAGACCAGTTTTATTCCTCAGATCTGGACGGGTTATCTGGTTGTTTTTCAAACTACAATAATGATGAAAAAGGCTAAAGCAAGAGCCACTCTTGTTTTTCAAAGGTTCCCCCAAATACGTAAAAAATACATTTACAGTTTCTCTCCATTGGTTTGGCTCATTTCTTGAAACAGAAATTACATTCTCAAACCACTAAGATCATTTGGCAAAACACTCTTACAGTTTAGCACAACACCTGCAAAAGCTCATATCTCTACCAAAATGGTTCACTCAGTCTTCTATCTAAGTCCCTTTCTCTTTTAAACAGTCAGTGTCTCCACAAGGGCAAAGATCCTTCTCAATAGCTTTGGCTCATTTCTCAACACAGATCGGACATTCTCACCATTCTTGGTGCTTTTGTCAAAATAAACCTGGATGGTTGATCACAACAACATAGTTCACCTGCAAAGCTCATATCTCTCCTGAAACATTTCACTCATGTGTCAAAACTACATTTCTTTCTAATCTGAATAGTCAGTGCCCCCAACATGCATCGTCCCTTTGGCATTGTGTGAGTACTGCCAGACAAGATGTTTAGATGTTTTGTCACTGTGGCAGAGGACCGACAATATACAACTGAAAAGAGTAGCCTCCAAGGTTTGACATCACAGATTGCACTCACAATACCAAGGAAATTATAACCATTTTTTATTCACATGCAAAGAAAGTTTCATACATATGTAAAAAGAAAATGTACGTTACATTAATACAGTAAATTGTATGAACACAAAATCAAAAAAGTATATATTCAATGGTCGCTGGTCAAGCTCAATATGTCTGTGTTTGACAGCACACGATCATGGAAAACACCTGCGTGTGTGACACTCCCCGTTCATTAATCTAGTTTCACCTGACTGTCAATGACTGTCATCAGTGTATCAAATATTCAAAAAAATTCTTACATGTATTCATGGTATTATTTTCTTGACCAATTCTGACAATTGAACAGACAGTTGTGCATGCGAGTACTTATACAATGAAATCATGCTGACATGTTTTGGAGAGAATGATCATTAGACTGAGAATCAACTAATCAGTTTAGATCTATTCATTTGGAAAATGTGCTAAACGTGGGCTAACTGTAGAACTGTAGGCTACATTTGCAAAGAAGCACTGAGACAATTGAGACATGTACTGAGGCATTTGCCATTTGATAAAATGAATGAGAAATGCCGTTCTGTTGTGAACATTTGCCAAGAGGTTTGGAGGTTTGTCCAGGTTATTTTGAGAATGTAATTTCTGTTTCAAGAAATGAGCCAAACCAATGGAGAAAAACTGTAAATAAAAACTGATTATGAGCTCATCAGCTACCATAAAAACTCAGATGAGTCAGGTACACCCTCCTTCCTTCAGGCAGAAGGTAGCACAGCCTCAAGCCCACCAGCAGAGCTGAGTTACCGCTGTATAATTTTAGGTGTCTATGAATGACTTCTTCAGGCTGGCCGGAGGAGCTTTTCTATGTATTTAATGAAACACGACCCAAATCTGAATTATGGACAAAAGCTGAGCTCTGAAAACAAGCACTTGTCCTGACAGAAGCAACATAAAACAGAATCACGTCTGTTGAATAAAGGGAATAGAGTGTGGATAATTGGGGAGTCAGCCTTTGATCTTTGTGGCCATCTTTTCTAGATAATTCTATTAGAAAGGTGGATGTCTATTCCTAGCATGAGCAGATAGAAAATAATGATTACAGTATGTAGAGATAACAACGTTAACCTTTAAAGTCATCTCAACAGAAACCAGAGAGGAAGAGAGTGCTCCGTGTTTCAGAGGATTAAAATGACACACACACACACACACACACACACACACACACACACACACACATATATGCATGCATGCACACACACACACACACACACACACACACACTTCATAAATGAGCTTGGTTTATATGTGAATACTGTGATGAAGTGATTTGTTTCCATGTTTGAGCTCTAATGTCTAAGAGGCACTGGCCCAGGTTACAGCTTTATCACCAGAGGACCAGAGGCAGCCTGTTTGTCTTTAATGCTGCAGATTTCAGCCATGTGCTCAATTTATATTCACACACACACCCACTCATGAGAACGGTAACTGCAGTCCTGTTGAAATTCTCTAATCACATATAGAGAAATCATATAAAAATAAGCTTCTTGGGTGTTGTTTTCTCCACATGATGATACTGATTTGCTGAGTAGTTGCAACACAGTAATAAGATGATTTAACAATCCAGAACATGCAGGAATTACGTGTTTATACAGGTAACACTGTGTTTGTCCTTCTCTGCAGAGATTCCTCCAGTTCCTGGCATCAAGGAACACCTTGTTCAATCTCAGCAACTTCCTGGACAAAACCGGCTCCCACGGTGTGTAGTGTTCTTTCAGATGTGCCCTTCAGAACCCTGCCCAGTAGAACACATGACCTTGTCTCCATGGAAATGAGCCCATCTCCCATGGTGATAAACACTAGTTTCACATCTCGCTGTCTCTTTCTGCTTGGGTGACTGCAGAGTTTCACAAGGAAAAGTAGAGATTTTCAAAACCTTTACTGTACTTTAACCCTCCCACTGTCCTCATGGGTGACCCCACCAGGAAAGTTGACCATTGAGCAGGGTTGATGGTTTATCCCTTTATGTCCACATGGCAGGGGTGAGGTGGTGCTCACTCCTTACCCCTGCCACGTGGACTTCAAGGGATAAACCATCAACCCTGCTCAATGGTCAACTTTCCTGGTGGGGTCACCCATGAGGGCAGTGGGAAGGTTAAAGTTTTGCATCACGGTTATTGTTAAAGGTGTGGTTGAGTGAAACACCTTTTTTAATGATTATTTCTGATTATAATTGGTCATTTTGAGTTTTTCATACAGGCTGAACATGACACTAGTCTCCTACACCTATCTACTGTGTTAGCTTATGATAGAAGCTAACAGCTGGTGTATGTCGATGAAATGCTAGGGTTTGAAAATCCTCACATATCTATGTCACACTGTGAATTTGCATTTGTGGCCCCACCCCTTGGCTAACGCCTGCCCACAGGAAGGTTTTTTAAATTTCTTTTTGTAGCAAGAAGAGACAGTGGAGAGTGTCTCGGTGATAGTAACCCCAAGATTCCACTACCTCCGCTCCGGTCCGCCCCCGCCTTCCGCAGCCGCTCGCTTCCGAACTCAATTTTTACTGGTACCCGCTCTACAACGGCTCCACTCCGGTGTGGAGATCTGAGGTGTGCAAACAAGCATGCGCGGGATTTTCGAGATCTTGCGATACAGTCCGAGCAATAAACGCGGAAGTTAGATCCAAACACCCGTTGTGTGGGAGAAGCATCGAAATGAACTGTTTAATCCGCCCATCATTTGTGTTGAGAGATCAGCAGTGTTTGGATCAACAAAGTGTGACTACTTTGATAGTAGAAACTGTATTTATTGCTTATTTTTGTGCATTTAAAGTTCAACTGCCATTGATAGTTGTTAAAAGTTGTTAAACCTGTGCATATGAAACTAAAAAAAAAACGCTTTTGGTTTATCGATTTATTGTGAAAAAACAGAAGCTGTGCTTGCTCCTTTTCCTGTTGGGCAGTTGTGATTTCTGTCCATTGACTGCAGAGGTGCTCCAGCGTCGGGCAAAAACAGAATCGATCCTATTTTTGCCGGATGACGCAACGGCGGGCGGCGCACTGCGCCGCACGGCCGCAGTAGTGGAACAGCTCCGATTGACTACAACGGGACCAATTTTGCTGCGGAGTTCGTGCCGGAGCGGAGCACAGCGGAGCGGAGGTAGTGGAATTTTGGGGTAACTCTGCAACATGAATGAACATGTTCTGTTAGCCAATCAGAAGCGAGGTGTCTGCATATGATTTATATTAATGGGCAATCCTGCTGTTTTCAGCCCACCTCTGCACCAGCAAACCTCTGCATCTGGGAACAGGAGCATCATAGAGTTTTTTTTTACTCATAAGGCATTGATTTACTTTACAGTAGAGAACACTGCTAATGTGTTGAAGAAACACATAAACCAAGACTTTAAATCTATTGCAGTTCAAAAATATTACCACAGTTAGTGTAGAAAATGTGCTACAAACTACAGTGACTGCAGATACAGTAGAACCAGCATCATCTCTGGTTTTCCTGCTGACCTAATGTGTTATTGTTCAGTTTTTTGACTCAGTCACATTTAGCCACTCTCTCTCCGTGGAAAAACAGTTTTGGATAAAAGGTAAAACAGGTCGAACATTAACTTTACTATTCAATGTAGCATAATTAGTCTAGCTGTCAGTTAACATAAATAATGTCATGTGTAAGTAAAGTTGTTGTTGGAGACCCCAATCAGAGCAAGATGTAGCTAAACGTTTAGAGTTTAGATGACTCCGGACCTGTTCTGCTGCAGTCACACGCTCCAGCTGGGCACGATGACCATTTCAGATCACAGCAGCCGGGCCGGGCTCTGAAAAGTATAGATTGGACGTAGACAGTTGGGCAATTGGATTTAAACATGCCTTTGTAAAGTGTGTGTGTGTGTGTGTGTGTGTGTGTGTGTGTGTGTGTGTGTGTGTGTGTGTGTGTGTGTGTGTGTGTGTGTGTGTGTGTGTGTGTGTGTGTGCGTGTGTGCATGTGTGCATGTGTGTGTGTGTAGATGTGTGTGTGTGTGCCACATCTGAAACCTAGAAAAGTGAACATGTTCTAATGTAGAACACACAGCGGGTTTCTAACTTGTTTATTATTGAAATTACAACACTAAATCCTGACATTTCCTGTAAATATAAAATAATTTTACTGTGACCAGATGACAACATCCGTGCTCCTGGTTTTTATTGCTATTGCAGCAGCAACAACGTAAAGGCAACTAGCAAACAGGTGTCGTTCTTACCGTATAAAGAAAGAGAATGGATCTGGCATCCTGACATTTGTTGCGGCCAGCCTGTCTCAATGTGATGTGGGATGCTGGACTCATGATTTACCTTCATGTCCTCCTCAGGCTATGACATGTCCACATTTATCAGACGCTACAGCCGCTATCTCAACGAGAAGGCCTTCGCCTACAGACAGATGTCCTTTGACTTTGGCCGAGTCAAGAAAGGGTACAGCTTTCTCATGTTGTTCCCTTGTTCTGCTTCATAGTTGAATGTTTTCATCTGTAAACAAGCTGTTAGTTTAGCCAGATCTGTGTTGTGTTCCCGTTAGTCCCCTGCTACACCCCTGTTTACCCTGAGTGGAGAGGGGATAATAGAAATATTGGCACTGTGCAGAGCTGCAGACAGAAGGCCCCTCTGACTAAAGAGACAAATAAAAGTATAAGAAATGTTTAAACCAAGCTTCCTTACTTAAGGTAGCAGACCAGTTGGTTCCCATTCACCACCAGAGACAACACTTTGGTGTTCTGCAGCTCTGACTGTCAAACAGTCGCTGTTTTATTCTCACATGCTGCATTTATTCCCCAGGGCTGAAGGGGCGATGAGGACCATGTCAGTGGAGAAGCTGCTGAAAGGAATGCCGACCCTGCAGAGCCAAATTGACGCTCTGCTGGATTTTGATGTGAGTGACGTCACTAAGAGGCAACCAGGTCACATAGTAAAATCACTGTTCTTAGTGAGGGGTACACACAGAGATTATAAAAGTAACAACATCCATTTGGAAGTGTGATCCAACACATGCCGCATATTATAACAGGTGTGTATGTGCACTAAAAATAATGTTTGCTTACTTATAACTGGGCAATGACACTCCTTGGCATAACTGCTGTTTTGGTGTTTCTGTCGGTTCCTGTTTCTGTTTTCTTATCCGTTCTTCACCGGCTTAACACTCGTGCTCTTTACAAACATGTTCCTGGGACGTCCTGCTCCTAACCGCCTCATACATTTCTTGGTTTATTGCATAATTAATTTGAAATACTGATTGAATGACTGTGTACTAAAAACACTATTTGCAATTGTTAAAATTAAGGAAACAAAAAGTATCTATGTGTGATATGTGATGTGTGATGGGTGGTGGCTGAAGGCGGGGACCTTGGTGGTCTGATCCTTGGCCACAGAAGCTGGCTGTCGGTACGTTGAGCATCACCTCTCTGGTGGGGAAGGAGCCTGAGTTGGTGTGTGAGGTTGAGAGGTTCAGACTAGATGCGGTCTAACTTACCTCAGTGCCTGGCTCTGGCTCCGGAACCAGTTTCCTTGAGAGGGCTGGACACTCTGCCAATCTGGAGTTACCCCCAATGAGAGGCATCGAGCAGGGGTAGGGGTATTTTAGTTTACCCCATCTTGGTGCCTGTTAGTTGGGGTTTACCCTGGTGAACAAGAGTGTAGCCTCCCTCCGCCTATGTGTGGGGGGATGGATCCTGACTCTGATTTGTGCTCATGCACCAAACTGCAGTTCAGACTATCCACCCTTTTTGGAGACCTTGGAGGAGGTGGTGGAGAGCTCTCCTTCCCGTGACTTCCTCGTTCTGCTGGGAGATTTTAGCGCTGACAGGGGCAACGCCCATAAGATCTGGAGATGTGTGGTTGGGAGGAACAGCCTCCCTGATCTGAATTTGAGTGGTGTTTTGTTATTGGACTTCTGTGGTAGTCATGGATTGTCCATAACAAATACCATGTTCAGACATATAGGTGTCCACATGTGCTCTTGACACCAGGATACTTTAGGCCGCAGCTCACTTTGTTGTCATTTTATCCGTGTGTGTGTGTGTGTGGCCGCATGTCTTGGACACTCAGGTGAAGGGGTGGAGCCGTCAACTGACTGCTACCTGGTGGTAAGTTGGCTCCAATGGTAGGGGAGGATGCTGGTCAGACCTGGCAGGCCCAAACGTATTGTGAGGGTCTGCTGGGAACGTTTGACAGAGTCTCCTGTCAGAAGAAGTTTCAATTCCCACCTTTGAAATAACTTCAGAAATGTTCTGGAGGAGGTGTGGGATATTGAGTCTTAATGGGCCCTGTTCTGTGCTTCCATAATGTCAAGGCAGCCAAATAGAGCTTCAGGAGGATTCAGGAGGACCTATGTGGTTTCCGTCCTGGCCGTGGGACACTGGACCAGCTCTATGCCCCTAGAAGGGTCCTGGAGGGTGCGTGGGAGTTTGTCCAACCGATCTACATGTGTTTTGTAGATTTAGAGAATGTGTTCAACCGCATCCCTCGAGGGACCTTCTGGGGGGTACTCCAGGGGTATGTAGTACCAGGCCCTCTGATACGTGCTTTTAGGTCCTTATATGACTGGTGTCAGAGCTTGGTCCGCATTGCCGGCAGTAAGTCAGGCTTGTTTCCGGTGAGAGTTGGATTCCACCAAGGCTGCCCTTTGTCACCAATCCTGTTCATGAAAGTTGTGAACAGGATTTCTAGGCGCAGCCAAGTTGTTGAGGGGATCTGATTTGGTGGCCTAAGAACTGAGTCTCTGCTTTTTGTAGATGATGTGGTCCTGCTGACTTAATCAGAACGTGATCTCCGGCTCTCACTGGAGCGGTTCACAGCCAAGAGTGAAGCAGCTGGAATGAGAATCAGCTCCTTTAAATCCGAGACCATGGTCTTGAGTCGGAAAAGAGTAGAATGCCTTCTCTGGGTCAGGGATGAGGTCCTGCCTCAAGTGGAGGAGTTTAAGTATCTCGGGGTCTTGTTCATGAGTGAGGGAAAGCTGGAGCGCAACATCGATAGGTGACTTGGTGCTGTATCTGCAGTGGGTGTTGTACCGGTCTGTCACGGTGAAGAGAGAGGTGAGCCAGAAGGCAAAACTTTTGATTTACCGGTCGATCTACGTTCCAACCCTCACCTATGGTCACAGGCTTTGGGTAGTGACCAAAAGAACGAGATCACAGATACAAGTGGCTGAAATGTGTTTTCTCCAGGGTGACCGGGCTCTCCCTTAGGATAGGGTGAGGAGCTCGGTCATCTGGGATAGGCTCGGAGTAGACCCGCTGCTTCTCCACATCGAGAGGTGCTAGTTGAGGTGCCTCGGGCATCTGGTCAGGATGCCTCCTGGACGCCTCCCTGGTGAGGTTTTCCGGGCATGTCCAACTGGAACAAGACCTAAGGGAAGACCCAGGACACGATAGAGGGACTGTGTCTCTCAGCTGGCCAGGGAACGCCTCGGGATTCCCCGGAGGAGCTGTCCCAAGTGGCTGGGGAGAGGGACGTCTGGGCCTCCCTGCTGAGGCTACTGCCCCACAACCTAACCCCGGATAAGCAACCGATAATGGATGGATGGAAAAATCATTTATTCTATATTAAAACTGGTCTTGTTTATTGTCTTCGTGTCCTCAGGTGCACCCTCAGGATCTGAACAATGGAGTGATAAATGCCTGCTTTCTCCTGCTCTTCAAAGATCTGATCAAGCTGTACGCTTGCTACAACGATGGCATCATCAACCTGTTAGGTAAAGATTATGTTTTTTATCAAAATCACCAGATTCCTTCAAAAAGGTAGAGATATGAGTTTCGTAAGTTTGTCGGATTGTTTTTTTATGAACTGCATCACTCAAACACACGCCCAACAATGGAAAGCTTTAGTTTTTACTGGTAAGAACAAATAGACAGAGGGGAATCATAGTGTTTTCAATCATTTCACTTATTTTTCTGCCACCTGTTGTGTTCAGAAAAGTTTTTCCAGATGAAAAGGAGCCAGTGTAAAGATGGGCTTGAGATCTACAAGAGGTTCCTGACGCGGATGACTCGAGTTTCTGAATTCTTTAAAATTGCGGAGGTAAGTTAGAGCACTCAGCTATTTGCTCCTTCGGTGTGTGCTTCCTGTAATCGACTCACTCTCTTTGTTACAGCAAGTGGGAATAGACAAAAATGACATTCCTGAGCTCACTCAGGTAAGACAGATCTAAGCTTTCAGTTCATTTTCATTAAATATTCATAAGATGTGTTTCTGTTGGATTCCAACCACATGTTTGTTGTTTTTTCTACCTTTTGCATGAGCGAACACCATGTTTTCCGTTCCTCCTGCCGTGTCACAGACGGTTGCTTCAACACTCAGAGAAACCTTCACATAAAGTGTCAGCTGCTGTTCTTTGGTTATTGATGCCTCCTTTGCCTCCCTCCCCTTTTTATTTTCATTTTCAGAGATGCAGATTGATCATTCAGGCTGAGAGTGTGAGTAGTGAGTAGTGCACAGAGCAGACAGCTTAGGGAAGGTCGACAATTGTTAGTGCGCTGAGTTGAGGCACCCTGCACAGCGAGCGCACACCTAGCAGACAGAGGAAGTGGGATAATGATGCGACTGGATGAAAGCAAGGCTGCTGACCCAATGCTGCTGAGGTTCTCACCAATAGATAGCTTTGGTTTGACAAATGCATCTCTCAATTAGTGCTGGAAGGTTTCCGTGACAACCTGTGTCTGAAAAATTGTACTTTTTTATTATTTCAGTCAATGAAAATTTGAAATTACCTTTGAGTCGCTTTCAGAATTCCAACCTGATCTGTGGAAACTTAACAGCTGAAGTTCCTCTTTGACTTGTCAGCTTGAATGTTTGCATGAAAGCATTTCAGATCTCTGCAGAGCAAAACACAAGCCCTGGACAGGCCACCAGTCAGCCATCATGCACATGCATGCTACAGAATAGTGCACCTGTTTGTTATTAATGTTTTGGAGCTGTTCACTATTTTATTCTGCCTAGACTTCTTATTTTCTAAACAATGGATGCAATTTTATGGCATTTTAGAGATTCCTAATTTATTTTTTACCTTAAATTGACTGAAGATGCAGCAGAGAAATATTAGGAGTTCATACTTTACATGAGGAAGCAAACTGATTTAATGAAAAATAAATAACCGTTTAAACAAATGAGATAGAAAGTAATTAAATGTGTTTTCTTTGCATAGCAGCTCAGTGGCCTCTATAGCTCCCTGTAGGGACAGCAAGCTGCAAACATTCAGCTGAAATTGCAATCCAGATGTTTATATTGCACAATGAGCAGCAGAGGGATGACACGCTTGTTGTCGCTGTGGTTGACTGTTTCTTTTTATTGCGTTTCCTGTTTGTCTCAGAAGCTGACTGCCCAGTTCAGGATTTTAGGTTCCAACTTTTCCTCTGACTCGGTTATTAGATTATTAAAATCACAATGTGGTGATGGGTCTGGATTAGGGCTGGACTGGATGGAAAATCACAATACTGTTTTTTTATAACAGTCGATCTTGTTTTAAATCTTGGTATAAAAGAAATCACTATTTTCGTCAACGTTATTGGTCCCTGATACTTTTAACAGAGATTTGAAGATATGAGAAGGTTATCTTTGATTTTAAAGATTTTCTTTTCAAATCTCAGCATGTCATCAAACATCAAATGACTATCACACACTGGTGGCTGTGCTCAGGAACTATTTGAACGAATTTGAGAAGTTTTTAAAGGTCAAAACAATAAAATAGAGGGCATTACTGACAGGAGTCCCAACAGTTTTTATTAAATTGATTTAAACAAAAATATAATTAATAATTTTCTCAAAATAAAGATTTTCTTTCCATAACCCCTAGCTCATCTGACCTCACTAGCATGAAAACTTCTAATAAAAACAGTTTGATTGCACTGCAACAGCCTTCCAGGTGTTAGTACAGAGAAAAATAATGCAGCTGCAGGGATGGCTGTAGATAAAAACACGCAACTGATATAAATGCAGTTTTCTCTCACTTGGCAGATTAAAGTCTGAGGGTTTTTAAAAATGGTATTCTAATATATCCTCTGTTTGCTCTGAAATGTTGTGGGAGGATGCAGAGAAAGCACAACATAAACAAAAAAGCTGTCAAAACAGACCCGACGCAGGAGTACGTTACTGTGAAACAACTGCACCTACCACCATAACGCCACTTTTAGATCCGCTTATATCAATAATCAATAGCAGTGATCTGCAACCTGCGGCTCTGGAGCCACATGTGACCCTTCACACTCTTTGAAGTCGTTATGTACGAGTTAATGCTTACGAAGGATTCACATCCTTTACCTATGCAGCATTCCATTTCTGTTTACCAGAGCATTTCCTCCATAAGACCTTCCTGTCCAATGAGTTACCAAAACAAACACATCTTCATCTAAATGACACATCATGGATTTTACGGATTCCTTACTTCCTTATTATTATCAAATTTATGAAGTCCCTGAGGAAAGTCTGGATGGATGGTTTATGGTTCAGTCGTTTTTAGATGAGCTTGCTCAGTTAACAACTGTCTGTGTGGAAGCTCTTCTGTAACTGAGCTGTTATATCTGCACTCTCCTAGTGAAGACAGGCGCCTTAAAGTCCCAGGATGATAAATGGTCTGTCCATGTTTCTCTGGGACCAAGACAAATCGTTATCAGCCTGACTGTCCTGCTGGTATTTAGCATAATGGAGGTTTGAATAGATAGATCCAGGAAACAGAGCAAGGCTTTACAAAAGCACAAGTATTTAAATGCTTTGCTTTAGCTTTGCCCTTTACCAAAAGGCCTGTTGGATATTGAGCTGTTGTTTATTGCATGTTTTAAGGTGATTGCGTCCCGTTTTGTCTGGTGGAACCTGCAGCTTCGCATCCCAGCTGGAAGTAAAGGCAGACCCTGTCCCCATCCCAGGGTTTTCGTTATCTTGTTACCTATTATGGTTAAATCCAGTTTCATCATGCATTGTTTTCAGTTTCATTTGTAAGTTTCAGGGAGAAGCTGATGAAATTACCACACTGGTTGGGATATTTGATAGTCTGTGGAGATCTTTTGTTTTGTGAGAATAAATGAGAATATGAGTAATAAACAAACTCCTAAAGGTGTCGCCCTAAAGGTATAGTTCAAATCTTTAGAAGTTTCTGTGGAATGGTTATAAACATTTAATTTCTCAGCTTTTGTAGGTAGTGCTCTTGACAGCCTCAGTTTACAGAAATATAGATTCATTTGGGTCTGAGATTGTATAAAAATAGACCAAATTTCTCCACCTGCTTCTGTTGTTGAACAGTGAATCCAGGTTGGCCCATTCATAGGAGCTTCCATGTCTGCATACTAGAGATGTTGTTCCTGCTACCCCGCGCACAATTACAGAAAACATGAATACAACTAACTATAATAATTACTACATTAATTAAAATAACGACCCCAACTAAAAGCAGTAATAAAACTAACTACAGCTAAACCTAAAACTTATATAAACAGTTTGACAACAATCATACCAGGCCTCATATGCATATATATGAGCAAACCATATGGGTCTCAACAGGGTTTGTCCACAGTTTCCATGGTGGCCCTACAGGAGCTTGCCCACAAAGATTTTAACAGGTTCATGTATGAGTCAAACCTTCTGAAAACCCATGTAAGGCCCATTCAAATCTATGTGGAACTACCATGGAAACAGCAGACAAGCCATTTTGGGACTCATATGGTTTACCCATGTGGAGCCCACCCATGTCTGCTGGCTGGGACGTAGCAGCAATCCAACTCGGTCTTGACTGCACTCAAACTACTGGTTAGCTCACTGATCCAGTCATAACTGGTTTCTGTTTCTCCTCTAAACTGATTCTAACCAAAAACACTAAAGAGAAGATCTGAACTGTCCCTTAAAAGAGGCAGCGAATGCAACATTGATGATCCTGTTCCAGTAGCAACACCTCTGTGTTTTTATCCTGCAGGCACCAGAAAGTCTTCTGGAGTCTCTGGAGACGCATCTTAACACTCTGGAGGGGAAGAAGCCGTAAGTCATCCTTATTTAGTTAATAGAAAGAGTTTGCACTCAAGACCAAACCTCTGTAGATTCTGGCTGGTCTACATGTCTAACTCACCCTTTCTTATCTTCACACAACTCAGAGAAGACAAGTAAGTTCAAGCATGGGGAGTTAGCTAAACATTTCTGTTTTGGAGTCTGAACACATAACTTCTTGTGTTTAAAAAGCATTTGTCAAATTATTTTGACACAATAATTTGGCTCATTGATCAGTCATCACTAACAATCCACAACATGTCCCAACTTTCTCAAAGCTTTGGATGCACGTCCCCTTGAGGATTTAAATGTATTTCAGCTAAAAGAAAAGCTTTGTTGAAGTGGAGTTGGGTGATATGCTGTGATTCACCACTGCAGTTCATAAAATCCCGTAATTAATTTCCCCACCTGATGCCTTTAGCTGTTCCAGCTTCTATGTCTCATGTAAGCCATGAATCCTGAACTAATCCTACTACTGTCCTTGTTTTTGCAGGTCACCCACCAAGGTAAGCTAATTGTTTTAATACATGGGACAGGAATCATTGATCAGTTTCAGCTTTCTCCCACAGACAGGAAGTGATTCACTTTGAATCTATGTTGTTGAGTCACACCAGTTATCTAACCAAGCTGATGGGTGTCTTACTCTGCAGCAAGAGACCACGGCCAACAACAGCTCTGTGGCTGCTGCAGCTGCTGCTGCTGCACCACCAGCCAAGCCTGCACCTCCACCTGGCGGACCACCAGCTCGCCCCATGCCTCCAGCAAAACCCCCTCCACCCTCTGTCACTCCAACAGCACCAGCCCCAGCTCCTGCTGCCACTGCTACTAGCAAGTACGACTCACTCATCTTAATTACAAATGTGTGTTCTGAGCTGCATCAATATTTCATTCGAAACAGCCTCTCTCTGTTTACACACACACACACACACACACACACACACACACACACACACACCTTCTCTCTTTCTGCTCAGTGCTCTCGACGATGGGTTCCTGTTGGATCTTGACCCAATGTTGTCGTCTTCGGGTCGAGGGGCTGCAGCAGCTTCGTCCACCACTGGATGGGGAGGTGAGATCTTTGCTGATTTTCTACCTAAAGTTAACATTTAATACCTGAAATGAGCTCAGACACAAGTGGATGGAAGCTTTTATCGCTGTGGTAACTTGTTTTTACACTTTTAAGCTAAACTCTAGAAAACAGGGTAGAAAAAAACTAGGTTTTAAAATGTGTTAAGCTGTTTGAATAGTTTTCAAAAACGCAGCACCATATGAAGATGTTTGTAGCTGACGTTCTGCTCTCTGTTTCTATTTACGTTTGTTTGTTTTGTTTCAGATCTTTTAGCAGAGGGTGAGTATTCTACGTTCTAAAGATACATACAGGCGGTTGCTATTTCAGTTTCACCTGAGACTCTGTTTCTTTTGTCTTCTGAGAGTTGCATGGTGGGACAAACTCTCCCAATTAATTTCTAATCACACTAAGATGGAAATCAGTCACTTTGCTGCATCTTTCCTCTTCCCCTTCTTTTTGTCTTCATATTCCTGTCTGTTGGGGGATGTGGCTGGGTCTGGCATTTGGATTATGGGGTTTATCAACATGGCAGCTCCAGCCGCTGCAGACGGAGCCTCTGAGTCTGTCCGAGCTGTTGGGGGGTCAGCTGCTGTTCCTGCTGCTGCTGCTGCAGCCACAGCCGCCCCTGCACCTGCGGCTGCTGCTGCTGCTCCCACCACTGCTGCAGCTGCACCGGTGCCCACATCGCTGCCTGTCTCTGCTCCTGTCACCACCACAGCCACAGACATCGACCTTTTCGGAGGTCAGTGTGGGCAGAGGGTAGAGAACATGATCCAGCATACACAGCCTGGCTGACTGCTTGCTTTTACTTTAAAACCTCATCATCCTCCATCTATTTACTGTTTATGTTGCAGAATAGAGGTGACAAATCAGGATTATCAAAAAATAAAAAATTACTGACTGAAATGCAGTTGGAGGAGTCTAAACTCGATTAATGTGTTCTGCTGTGCTTCCACGTTGCTGCACACACATACTGATATATATTTTTATTTTATTTATTTAGGGCTATAAAACATTTTGTGCTCATTCTCAAAAAAATAAGCCATTTATTTAACTGAATTAATTTCAGATTACAAAGATTTAAAAACCTATGATTTACTTCATCTCCCGGGTACAATGCCGATGTAATGACACTGACTGGCTGTTTGGATTTCTGGCATTTTCTCTTCATGACCATAATTGTTAGTTTTTACTAACAGCTTTTTTAAAGTGTCATAAATATCCCAAGATGATGCATAATTAGTTTTGTCTCTCGTCTCGTCGTCTCGTCTTCCTCCGCTTATCCGGGTCCGGGTCGCGGGGGCAGCATCCCAACTAGGGAGCTCCAGGCCGTCCTCTCCCCGGCCTTGTCCACCAGCTCCTCCGGCAGGACCCCAAGGCGTTCCCGGACCAGATTGGAGATGTAACTTCTCCAACGTGTCCTGGGTCGACCCGGGGGCCTTCTGCCGGCAGGACATGCCCGAAACACCTCCCCAGGGAGGCGTCCAGGAGGCATCCTGACCAGATGCCCAAACCACCTCAACTGGCTCCTTTCGATCCGGAGGAGCAGCGGTTCTACTCCGAGTCCCTCCCGAATGTCCGAGCTCCTCACCCTATCTCTAAGGCTGAGCCCGGCCACCCTACGGAGGAAACTCATTTCGGCCGCTTGTATCCGCGATCTCGTTCTTTCGGTCATTACCCAAAGCTCATGACCATAGGTGAGGATTGGGACGTAGATCGACCGGTAAATCGAGAGCCTGGCTTTCTGGCTCAGCTCCCTCTTCCCCACGACAGATCGGCTCAGCGTCCGCATCACTGCAGATGCCGAACCAATCCGCCTGTCGATCTCCCGATCCCTCCTACCCTCACTCGTGAACAAGACCCCGAGATACTTAAACTCCTCCACTTGAGGTAGGACCTCTCCCCCGACCCGGAGGTGGCAAGCCACCCTTTTCCGGTCGAGAACCATGGTCTCAGATTTGGAGGTGCTGATCCTCATCCCAGCCGCTTCACATTCGGCCGCGAACCTACCCAGCAAGAGCTGAAGGTCAGAGCTGGATGAAGCTAGGAGGACCACATCATCCGCAAAAAGCAGAGACGAGATTCTCCTGCCACCAAACTCGACACACTCCACACCACGGCTGCGTCTAGAAATTCTGTCCATAAAAGTGATGAACAGAACCGGTGACAAAGGGCAGCCCTGGCGGAGTCCAACCCTCACTGGGAACAGGTCCGACTTACTACCGGCTATGCGGACCAAACTCACGCTCCTCTGGTAAAGGGACTGAATGGCCCTTAACAGAAAGCCACCCACCCCATACTCCTGGAGCGTCCCCCACAGGGTGCCCCTGGGGACACGGTCATAAGCCTTCTCCAAATCCACAAAGCACATGTGGATTGGTTGGGCAAACTCCCATGCCCCCTCCATCACCCTTGCAAGGGTATAGAGCTGGTCCACAGTTCCACGGCCAGGACGAAAACCACATTGCTCCTCCTCTATCTGAGATTCAACTATCGATCGGACCCTCCTCTCCAGTACCTTGGAGTAGACCTTTCCAGGGAGGCTGAGGAGTGTGATCCCCCTATAGTTGGAACACACCCTCAGGTCACCCTTCTTAAAGATGGGGACCACCACCCCGGTCTGCCACTCCCTAGGAACTGCCCCCGATGACCACGCAATGTTGTAGAGACGTGTCAACCATGACAGCCCTACAACATCCATAGCCTTGAGATACCCAGGACGAACCTCATCCGCCCCCGGGGCTCCGCCGCTGTGTAGTTGTTTGACTACCTCAGCAACTTCTGCCCCCGAGATCGGACAGTCCATCCCCAGGCCTCCCAGCTCTGGTTCCTCCTCGGAATGCGCATTGGTGGGATTGAGGAGCTCCTCAAAGTATTCCTTCCACCGTCCGACTATAGCCTCAGTTGACGTCAGCAGCTCCCCATCCCCACTGTAAACAGTGTGAGCGAGTTGCTGCCTTCCTCTCCTGAGGCGCCGGACAGTTTGCCAGAACCTCTTTGGAGCCGATCGATAGTCTTTCTCCATGGCCTCACCAAACTCCTCCCACGCCCGAGATTTTGCCTCGGCAACTGCCACTGCTGCACCCCGCTTGGCTATCCGGTACCTGTCTGCTGCCTCCGGAGACCCACAGACCAGCCACGCCCTGTAGGCCTCCTTCTTCAGCCTGATGGCTCCCCGAACCTCTGGTGTCCACCAGCGGGTACGGGGGTTGCCACCACGACTGGCACCGGCCACCTTACGGCCACAGCTAGCAACAGCCGCCTCGACAATCGCAGAGTGGAACAAGGCCCACTCGGACTCAATGTCCCCCACTGCTCTCGGGACGTGGTCAAAGCTCTGCCGGAGGTGGGAGTTGAAGACCGTTTTGACAGGTTCTTCTGCCAGGCGTTCCCAGCAGACCCTCACTATGCGTTTGGGTCTGCCAGGTCTACGCGGCATGTTCCCTTGCCATCTGATCCAACTCACCACCAGGTGGTGATCAGTTGACAGCTCCGCCCCTCTCTTCACTCGGGTGTCCAAAACATACGGTTGCAGGTCAGATGATACGACTACAAAATCTATCATCGACCTGTGACCTAGGCTGCCCTGGTACCAAGTGTACCGGTGGGCATCCTTATGTTCGAACATGGTGTTCGTTATGGCCAAACTGTGGCTTGCACAGAAGTCCAATAACAAAACACCGCTCGAGTTCTGATCAGGTGGGCCGTTCCTCCCAATCACACCCCTCCAGGTCAAGCTGTCATTGCCCACGTGAGCATTGAAGTCCCCCAGCAGGACAATGGAGTCCCCTGATGGAGTACTATCTAGCACTCGTCCCAGGGACTCCAAAAAGGGTGGGTACTCTGAACTGATATTTGGCCCATAAGCACAAACAACAGTCAGGACCCGTTCCCCGACCCGAAGGCGCAAGGAAGCTACCCTCTTGTCCCCCGGGGTAAACCCCAACACACAGGCAGAGAGTCTCGGGGCTAACAAAAAGCCAACCCCAGCCCTCCGCCTCTCACCCGGAGCAACTCCAGCAAAGTAGAGTGTCCAACCCCTCTCCAGGTCTCGGGTTCCAGAGCCAATGCAATGTGTCGAGGTGAGTCCGACTATATCAAGCCGGTACCGCTCAACCTCTGCCACAAGCTCCGGCTCCTTCCCCGCCAGCGAGGTGACGTTCCATGTCCCAAAAACTAGTTTCCTTGTCCGGGGATTGGACCGCCAAGGCTCCCGCCTTGGTCTGCCACCCGATCCACACTGCACCGGACCCTTCATGTTCCTCCTGCGGGTGGTGGGTCCACAGTTGGACGAGCCCATGTATCCGGTTCGGGCTGGGCCCGGCCGGGCCCCATGGGCGAAAGCCCGGCCACCAGGCGCTCGCTCACGGGCCCCAACCCCAGGCCTGGCTCCAGGGTGGGACCCCGGTAACCCTCCGGGCCGGGTACTCCGACTCTTCGTTTTCACCGCCATGAAAGATCCTTCGAACCGTTCTTTGTCTCACCCTTCACCTAAGACCAATTTGTCATGGGAGACCCTACCAGGGGCACTAAGTGCCCCAGACAACATAGCTCCTAGGATCATTAGGGCACTCAAACTCCTCCACCACGATAAGGTGACGGTTCAAGGAGGAGATAATTAGTTTTGTTTTAATGATATCCTGGCTTTTACCCGTCAGTGAAATAATTAGTTTGTTTGTCAAAGAGAGACTTTGATTTTTCCATCCCCCTCTTGTCACAGAGTAACAAGCAACTTGTGACAATTTGCCTCATTTCACTAGCCTGAATGCAGCTTTATGCAGCCCCTCAAAACTCATCATGTTACTGATGAAACCATGAGAACAATCTCTGCTCTGAACGGGCTGCATACATCTTGTATTCTCTGCTTTTCTCCTGATGCTGACCTCTCATTTTTGTTTCCTGTTCCATTTCATTTGTTGACTCATCTTCTCTTGTGGATGTCCGTGTGTGTGTGTGTGTGTGTGTTTGTCGGACCGGCTGTTATCTTTTGCGTTTGTGTTCCCACTGTTGTCGTCTGCGATACCCTAGATGCGTTTGCACCTTCCCCAGGAGATGGTCCTGCTGCTGTGGCCACAGGTCCTGCTGCTGATGCATTTGTTGGATCTGGTGGGTGAAAACGAACAGCTTTCCGTGTGTGTGTGTGTGTGTGTGTGTGTGTGTGTGTGTGTGTGTGTGTGTGTGTGTGTGTGTGTGTGTGTCTGGATATAAGAAAGGCTGCTTTTATGATATTTAAGCAGCTTCTGCTTCATAAGAGACAGTAGCTCAGACATGTGCCATATGGTCTCACCCCAAACCCTGCTAACACCCCAGTCATGGATCCTCTCCTCCTCCATCATAGCCACTTTTCTTTTCCTGAGTTTCACTGAGGGGATTCTCCAGTACAACACACACGTACCTTCTATTTCTACAAATCAGTGCCATTTATTTTAGTAACCTTCCCCTGAAACTACTAATGAAGCATTTTTACTCTTTTGTTTTTCTTCATTAAGCTGCTCTCTTTGACCTACTGTGGTTTAAATAAGACAGCAGGTGAAAAGTTTACTGAAAAATAAAGCATCACAGAACATCTTGGTGACACTGCTTACCTCAACAGTTGCACCTTGTAATTAACTTCCTGCTGCATCCTACTGGGTTAGGTAGGTTGAACCTTTTCACATGAATCTAATTCATGTAAAAACTTGGAATTCAGATTACCCATGTGTCCCCAAAACACGTTCCGTGCTTCACTCTCCAGGTTGCCTGTTCTCACGTAAGTGTGAGACATTTCACTTTCTTCACACCACACCTCCAGTTTCTCACAGTGAAAAAATAAATGATCTCTCTGAGCTGCATGTGGCCTTGCACTATTGCACACTCTTCTGTAGCTACAGCGCTACAACCTCTGCGTTTACATGAGCAAGAAGGGGAGTTGGTGCCTGACTGCAGCAGACTGAGTGAGGTGAAACCCTCCGGTTATGAGGTGGACACTTAACTCCTAAATGTTCCATCATACCTGCTGATTTAATTTGTTAAACTAATTTTAATTAAAGGGCAGCAGTACCTCAGGAGGGAGAGCAGGTAGTCTAGTAACCTGAGGGTTGTAGGATCGATCCTGTATCCCAACAATTAATGCTGCTGTTATGTCCTTGGGCAAGGCACTTAACCCCCACTGCCTGCTGATGGTGGTCGAAGGGGCCGGTGGCGCCTCGCTTCAGTCAGCGCGCCCCGGGGCAGCTGTAGCTACAATGTAACTCGCTAGCAGGGTGTGAATGGATGAATAATTGTGTTGTAACGTGCCTTGGGGGGTTCTAGGACTGTAGAAGATGCTTTATCAAATACAGGCTATTTAGTCCGATTACTTTAAAAAAATGTATTTGCTAATTCCTGTGGTTTAAAGGACTAAATTAAATTAAGTACAAATAAATAATTCAATAAGTAACAAATAAAAAGTTAAATTTGTGAAAAAAAATCCACAATTTTATGAATTTGCATAGAATTTGCTCATAATTAACATTGTGTGTGTGATTACAGCATCCTTTTTGTTTCTGAAAAATAAATCTGCCTTAAAATCACTTTATTCTCTTTTATAGGATTATAGAACATGTGGTTACAGAGTCACGAGATTTGAATCCCAAACATTCTGGAGTTTTTACACCCAGAATAAAGCTCTTGGATTATTGTTTTATGTGCATCAGAATTCAGAATTCAAGGAAAATGTACTGATGGATTCAAGTAAGTTTGGGTTATTTTCTAAGGTTTGGGGAGATTTGGAAATTAACCAGTGTTTGTACTAAAGCTCTTTGGATGCAGCATAGAAGTTAATAACTGTTTTCTTTTATTTTGTTGAACTTAACCCTCCTTTGGAGCTTCAGAATCATTTGGCCTCAGAAAAATGCTTTTCAGAGTGTTTTTTGTCTTAACCACGCCTCAATCCGTCCTTTCCCTCTTCTCTAATCATAACCTGCCTCCACCTGTCAACACCACCCCTGCTGCTGCACCTGAAGACCCCTTCGCTACGACAGAGGGAAGTGCAGACATTGCTCCAGAGCTGGACCTGTTCGCTATGAGGCCTGCCAACACGGAGGCCAATGCCACCATCACCCCTCCCACCTCTAGCGAGGCGCCAACCATCATCGCTCCCATCGCTGCCCCCGCTGCCCCTGCCCCTCCCTCCACCATCGACACCACCACCACAGAGTCTGCAGCCGCTCCGACTCTAGATATCTTTGGTGGTAAAGTCCTCTCGCTCTCGTTATTCCTCTAACTGCATCATCCTGCATTTTGACAATGATTAGAAATGGTTTTGATAAATCTGACTGTGCTGCTCATGCTACTGATGATGATGATGATGATAGTGACATGAGAATTACTCTACGAGCCCCTACATCTCAGATTTATTTTTCTACTCCCCGTGACTTCTCTCCTGCAGTCAGACCTAATCAAGCACTTTGAGCACCTCTGCTTTGATTTAAGGACAAAAATACTCTTTTAATGCACTGGCTCTGTATTTTTGGAACCAAATTTGTGTAACTCGTTCGACGTAAGTGAGCATTTCTCTCTCTTTATAACAGAGGTGACTCAACTTGTTTGGATTATTGACCAAATACTAACAAACTACTAAAATTGAAGGAGGAACTGGCTTTTGTCTGCAGTTTGTTACTAGTGTTTTAGATACTTTTGACTGGGAATGCCTTACTGGAGTTAAAAGGGAATATTGCTCAGTCAGACAGTTTTCAAAGAGTTTTGGTTTATTCTCAAAATCTTCAGCATGTGCAAGTTAGCTAAGCTCTATTATCTTCTGGTTTGGGGCAAAACCCTTATTCACACCAGGCTTTCTAAAATCCGACAGATAAAAACTGCTTTAACAGTATAAAACACCAGAGAACTCCACTACTCAGGAAACATTGACCCATTTTATAAACTCAGTGTCCTAATTTTTCCTTAAAAGTCACATGGAATTCTAATTTAATGGAGGAGCATGGAAATCTCACAGAAAATCTATTTAAAATGTAGGTTAAACCATGAATTTGCTTATATAAGGAATTATTTTTACATTTGATATTGAAAACCAGCCTATTTGAGAGGTTTTTAATGAGGAAATGTGACTTAGACTTTGCATCATCTCTTTAGCATTTAGCACTGATGCAGCTACACAACTGCTCACCCATTGACAAATGTTTCTGCTCTCTTCTGCTTTCCTTCATGTCTCTGCTGAACTCACCCTTCTGAATGCACTTGGACTTGAACTCTGAATGCACCTGTGGTTGTCTGTCCTTGTTCTTAGATATGTTTGATTCTATGCCTGAGCAAAGCCCTACCACAGAATCCAAAGCTGCTACCACTCCTAGCGTAGACCTTTTTGGTGCAGGTACAGGAGTTGATATCCATCTCTCTGTGTGTGGAGCCTCTCCGTCTCCTCTGGTCTCTATATGTCCACTCCTTTGTCCACACTATTTTCCTATACGTCTTGATTTGTCCCCCCATAGTGCTATGAGATGTGTGCATGCAACCCGTGTGTCAAGTACTGGATTGTCCTTGTGGCTGCTTTCTATCTATGCTTTACCTCTCTACCTGCCATGCTAATGCGTTTCTTTGCTTCCCAACCTCCATGGTTTTCTTTCTCGTATCCTGCCTCTCGCTTGCATAAATTAGACCTTCCTGCCGTTTCACGCGGGCCCTCTCCGTTGCCCGAGCTGACTCCGGCTGGAGACATTGTGACGGGTGAGTTTTGCTGCATCACTGTTTTCCATTCTATATGAGGAGTGCAACGACACATGGGTTTTTCTCTGGTACTGATGTCTGTGTACACAAGCAGACCTGTACTTCCAAATGTTGTTCACTTCGAGGATGTGGATTCACAGTTAGGATGCAGGGATGCCCGCTTCCTTCTCCTGCTTCCTCTTTTGCATGTTCGCTCCAACTTTTAGGCACACGCAGAAACGTTTCCTCTTAGATTGTAAACGTCTGGTTTAATGTTTTTTTTTTCTCCTGCTCTGTTCAGATACATTTTCATCTCCAGTCCCCACCACTACCCCTGCTCCTGCTGCTGCACCAGAAGCTTCGTCTCCACCAAAGGCAGAGCCAGAGATCGACCTGCTGGGTACCTCGAACACACACAAATATACAGAACACACAGAACACAACAAATCCTGAGTTTATAAACTCAGGATTGCATGTTTGTGAGTTTTTAAACACCACGGCGAGCAACAGGCTTTCAAATAAAATACATATAAAATATGTTAATCTGAGAAAGTATTTGCCAGCGTTAATGGGTTCATTTGTTTTTGGAGGGTTGAGGGTAGAGATTCCCAACAGAATTTCAGTTTAGGTCAGGAATTCTTTTTAAATATAAAGCAAGGAGTTCTGCTCTGATTTCAGTAAGATTCTTTGAAAATGTGCAATCATGTCAGACAGCTGTGAACCCTGATCCAGCAAGAAAGTTGAGTTAATTCCGTTACCATGGTGATGGGCTCAGATGTTTACCCGTGTCTCTTCCTGGGAGTCATGGTCTTGCTGTAAAGATGTTTTCCCTGTCCTCCTGCCTCCATGTTACCAATAGCCTCCTTCAGCGGCCCTGTGGAGGTGACACAGAGCTCTGCTCCTGGAGGGCCAGGAGGCGACCTGCTGGGAGGTAAAACTCCACTCGCTCTCACTTTTCAGTCGTCCAGCAAAGTTAAAAGGGCAAACTGGTTAAAGTAGAGGGGGTGGAATTGAATATAACATGTTCTTGTCCTGGTGAATGATGGGAGCATTTTATACTGATTAAAAACGATACTGTAAGCAGCACCATTCTGCATTAGTCAAATGAATGACGAGACAAACTTGGCAGGCACGTGGTTGATTGGTTCACTGCAGGTTCAAATGGGTTCAGAGCTCATTTGGAAAAGTTACTCAATCCTGCTGGCAACGTTCTGCCTGTCTGCCATCTTCTTATTCCACTGATCCTTTCATAGCTGAATCAGCTGATGGGTTATTTTACATCAGCTACATGTCTAACATACTCAAACACACACTTTGGGGTTCGTGCATGTATGCTCAACAAAACATTTGGACATTAAAATTAAAGCTCTGCATTCACAATCCAATTAGGACAACATACAGAGATGTTATAATCGTGTGTGTGTGTGTGTGTGTGTGTATGTGTGTGTGTGTGTGTGTGTGTGTGTGTGTGTGTGTGTGTGTGTGTGTGTGTGTGTGTGTGTGTGTGTGTGTGTCTTCCTCATCCCTCAGGCCTGATATCCCCCACCCTTGCCCCCACCGCTGCCCCAGCCCTGGCCCCAGCCCTGGCTCCAGCCCTGGCTCCGGCTCCAGTGCAGAACAACCTATTGGAGACGGGTTTTGATTCTCTGGGGTCTCTGTCATCCCCGACACCACCAGTACCTGCTGCAAGAACATCAGCAGAACTTGTATCCAGCACACCAGTGCCCTCTGGTGGCTTTGATGCTTCAAGTAAGGCACTCCCATGCTTTGCCCTTCCTGTCTTGTGCACTCATCTAATTACAACCCATTTTTATCAACAATATGACTTAATTTTGTGAGCTTTATTAAAACGGAGGTAATCTAGCAGACCCACTTACCTTTTTCTGCTGACAGCCTGACTTCTGCATGAATGAGGCACTGAAATGCTTGGCTCTCACCGGCCTCCTGATGTAAAACAGTTTCTGCTGACTGCTTTTCTCTTCTGGTGCACTTTTGAAAATGCTGTGCTTTCCTTTCCCTTACATTTCTTTCTTTCTTTCTTTCTTTCTTTCTGCTGTACACTTTATCTCTTCTGCTCTTGCTTTGCCACTGTAACCCCCTCTCCTCATCCACGCCCCTTTCACTCTGCTGGGTCATTGCTTGCTTCTTCTAATCTGTAAATGGTGAGTTCGACTCTGCAGCGTGAGGCAGCATGTGCAGATAGAATGCCTCTCACCCCAACTTTTCAACTTTGCATGCTGCAAAATCACCCATGTCTGCTGCATGAGACAAAGTCACATTTTTATATATCTGTTATTTTTTTTTCAAAGATAAGCTTGCATGTCATCAAAGCCTAATGCAACATGGTTTAATATGCATTTTTGTTGAAACTATTCAGTAAGCAGTTTAACATTTGCCTTGAAACAGTCAAATCCTTGAAATAAAAAGAAAATAATTGATAGTTTATAAAGAAGTATGCATACCTGTGAGCTACCTCTGCACTGCAATATGTAGCGCGTGAGTTTGGTTTTCCTCACTCCTGCTGCTGTAACGCTAGAACAACAACAACTACTACTACTACTACCAGTACTACAATTACTACTACTACTACTAATAATAATAATAATAATAATGTAAGAATCCATTTTTAACTGAATTTTTTATTTTTAATATTAATATAACAACTTTAATCCTATTAGGACTTTTTTGTTATGTTTGTTATATGTCTGATGATGGTCTTCACAGGGTCAATGTGAGTACCTGTAACATCTTCATTGTTTTATCTAAAAATTGGGTTTAAATGTAGAAACATAAACTTTACACTGTTCTGGCTTTTATGACACTGGATCTTATTTCCCTGTTTTCCATTTTTCTTACTACCTAAACTTGAGCTGCAACTGGTTTCATGAGCGTCTTTTATTTAGTTTTATTTATTTCAGTGTATGGTTTGTAGGTGCCAGTTGATGCTCCTCACCATTACTGCCTGCTCTCACATTTGCTGGCTGCCTGCATTAGCCAGACTATACCATCTCAAGTTTACACTCAGTTATCTGATGTCCCACAATCCTCTTTTCTTTTCTCGACAAGTGTTGGGTGGACTAGGTGACTTGTTGATGCCTGCTGTAACGCCTCAGAGCACCGGTGGCAGTACATCCGGGAGCACAGGAGGGAGCATGGGAACGCCCATCGCAGCTGGCGGGACATCAGCCATTCCCCCCGCCACCCCACCCCCAACTAAAACCATTGGAGGAGATCTGGACTCATCTCTAGCCAACCTAGTTGGAGGTAGGCTACAGACTCTCTCGCTGCACAGATTTCTAAGTTTAGAACTACATCCACCCAAAGTTAATCTAACTTTCTCTCATCTGTTGCAGACCTTGGGATGAAAAAAAAGTGAGTGTGTTATTAAAACAGTGAAAGTTGTGTGACGTTTTCACGTAGCTCACAATGTGTGTGTGTGTGTGTGTGTGTGTGTGTGTGTGTGTGTGTGTGTGTGTGTGTGTGTGTGTGTGTGTGTGTGTGTGTGTGTGTGTGTGTGTGTGTGTGTGTGTGTGTGTGTGTGTGTCAACCTGGCGAGCAAGAAAAATGATCCCAACACTAAAGATAACAAAGCTATGAAGCCACTTTCCCTAGGAAATTTTCTGCAAAAAGTCCTTCTCACATATAGTAATTTCAGCAGTTTGATCCATTACAGTTTCAGTACCTTCCAAAATGAGCCGTGCCAGGCCTCTTTCACTTTAAGACTACAAGTTGGAGTTTTTATAGAGGCAGTAGAGACCCACATGGCAGCACAAAAGGCTGCATAGTTTTGCACAAAATGTCCCCTTTATCTTGCTTTTTAACTGTTTCTTTCACTTACTGTTTATGTGGTTGCCCTTAGGGATTAAAGAGTCTGTTTTAAATATGCTTTAAAACAAAAAAAAATCTCCTTTTCAGATTTCTCACTAACTTTGGCACAGGCACACAGCAAAATAAATAAATAAATGCTTTACTTGAAAACTTCCATAGGCTTCATACAAATGTGGAGTGTGTGTTTAGTACACTTTAATAAAGTTTTATTCTAAGTGAGGAAAATGTTTCCTGTTTTGGATGTCTTTCAGGGACCCAATGAGTGAGAAGAGGCTGACAGGAGGAGCTAACTGGACCCCACAGGTTGCTCCCACAAGCTGGGGCACTCCTGGAGCCCCCATGGTGAGAGCAAAAATGGAAAGCTTCAAAGCTGTGTGCTGCTCATGCCTTAGAAAATGCCATAGCCCCAGCTAGCGGACCCACTCACACAGACACAGCCTCTGCTTGAACACAGCTTTATTTGGGGGCAAAGTGGCATAGGAGTTAAGTGCTCGCCATGTAATTGGAAAGTTGCAGGTTCAAGCCCTGCTCACACTTTCGCTGTTGTTGTGTCCTTGGGCAAGATACTTAACCCACCTTGCCTGCTGGTGGTGTTCAGAGGGTGGTGCCCGCAGACTCACCTCTGTCAGTGTGCCTCAGGGCAGCTGTGGCTACAATGTAGCTCACACAGCTCCTCCATTCTGCTTCCAGTCCCTCTTCCACCTGCGGCACCGTCCTTTATAATCAGCCAGTGGCTGACTGCTGATTGCCGCCAAGTGGGACCCACTCGTGTGCACTGGCACATTCCTCCACCGCTTGTTCCAGGCCAGGATCACCTCCGGTCTGGCCAACTCCCCCTCCTCCAGTGGAGGGAAAGGAGCCACGTCTGATCTTCTGGGCTCCCTGCGTCAGTCGGTTCCAGCTGTCCGCCTCCACAACATCCCCACCCTCATGGTCCATCTCATCGCACTTCTATGCTGTGGCTCCCTGTCCTGGGCCGTCGTTCCTTGTCCCTGGCCAAGGACTGGTTGCGCCAACATCCCATCAGCCCTGTCCGCTCCAATGGGGGGGGGGGGGGGGGTCACAGGCGGCGCGGTAATCAGCCTTCTCAGCATTGGTCCAGTGCATCCTACTGTGCCGCTTGGGGTTCACAGGCGGCACAGGAATCAGCTGTCACAGCATCATTCCCATAAATCCTATGGTGTCGCTGGGGGGGGGGGGGGGGAGGTTGCAGGCAGCGCGGTGCAGAAATCGACCTTCCCCGGGAGTTCCTCTGCGCCACTGCCACATGCCTTCCGGTTGGTGACCCTCCTCCAGTCTAGTCCTCTAGCTGCTGCAGAATTACTATCTGCCACTCTGGCCATCGCTGCAGTGCCTCCATCCAATGGCTGCAGCGCGCCACTGACTCGCGGTTCTACCGGACCATCTCAGCCAGCATCCAGTCCAGCACAAATGCTCTATGATCTGGCTGTATGCTGCCGTGATGTGGGTCGGGCCCCACGTTGGGCGCCAAATGTAGCATGTCGGGGACGTAACATAAATGGGGGCTCGTCCGGGAATTGAACCTGGGACCTCTCGCAAGACATGAGATGGTAAAATGTGAAGGATGGGGGTAACATAAGAACTGGCGGAGGAGTTTAAAATGGGTTTATTTGTACAAAAAGGTATTAAAAACACAAGCAAACAGATGGCGAGCATTATTAATATAATGCTAAACAAAAATACTCTCAAAAAGGTTAACATTAAAAGAGCAGTTACCAACATTAAAAACACCTGGTTAAAACTTATGTTAAAAGTTTTACCGGAACAGAAGGTGTTTTAAAACGAAGTCAATAAAATTGCAACAAACGAAGTTAACCTTAAAAACCAACAAACACAGTCAACACTGGGTGACATGCACAAAAGATCCATGTGGATCACTCAGTTAAAACTCTTCTACTCAAAGGGGTTGAAAACAAAATGAGGCCTGGAGAACAGCAGAAACCCTGCACCGCTGCCTCCCAGACTGCTGAAGGCACAGCCTTTTTATCCAGGTGTGGGTCATCAGAAGGATTCAGATCAGCTGTGCTCCTCAGCAGCCTGGAAGAGAGGAGGAGGAGGGGCTGTGTCCAGTCAATCACCAGAGCTGGGTGATCCTGGCTGCTTTTTCCCCTCTTCAGACTGGCAGCCGTGACATTAGGTAATAATTAAGAATTGAAGATCTTCCAGTAAATTGAGAGCTTGGCTTTGCTCTTTCTCCACAACAGACTAGTGTTTGCACCCGTCCATCAATCTCTCTCTCCCTCATTCCATCTCTAGTGACCAAAACCTCAAGATACTTAATTTCCACCCTTGAATTGGGACCTCTGCCCTGACCTGGAATTGGCAATACACCCTTTTGCAGTCAAGAACCATGGCCACAGATTTGGAGGGGCTAATCCTCATCCCAGCTGCTTCACACTCAGCTGCGAGCTAAGACCACATCATCACCAAAAAGTAGAGAGAAGATCCTCCTGCTACCAAACTTGGTGCCCTTACCCCGCACCCTCATCCAGAAATGCCATTCATAAAGACAATGAACAGAACAAGTAATGAATGGCAGCCCTATTAGAGTTCAGTCCCCACAGGTAACAGGTCCAACTTATTGCCGGCAAAGTGGACATGACTCACACTCTTATTTGTACAAGGACCGAATGGCTTTTACCATAGGGCCCTCCACTCCACACGTTTTGAGTGCCAACCTACTTGGTGTCCCTGGGGACACCGTCTTAGCCTTCTCCTGATCCACAAAACACCCGTGGACATGTTAGGCAAGCTCCCACGCCACTTCCAGCGCCCTAGCAAGGGTAAAGAGCAGCTCCACTGTTCTATGTCCTGGATGTAAACCCACCTGCTCCTCCTCAATCAGAGATTCTCATTTCATCCTGGTCCTTCACCCCATCATCTTGGAGTAGACCAGGGAGGCTGAAACATGCGATCTTACTATATTTGAAACACACCTTCTGGTACTCCTTTGTAAAAATGTGAACCACCACCCTAGTCATGCACTCCACCGGCACTGCCCCCGATATCCACACATTGCTGCAGAGACGGGTCCCTACCACAGCCATAGCCTTGAGGTACCCAGGGTGAATCTTGTCAACCCCTAGAGCTCTGCCACTGCGTAGATTCTGGACCACCTCAGTGACTTCTGCTCCAGAGAGAGAATATTGTTTTAGTAAATATATGTTTTCGTAAAGTCAAGGCATGAGATCACAATTTTAATTTAACAATGACGCAACAAGGATTTTGTCCACCCTTCATTGTTTAAACTCCTTCTGGATCTAAGCGTTTCACTTGTGACAGAGTTGTTAATGTGGATCCTTGTCTTCAGGCTGCCACTGCTCCAGGAGCTCCAGGATCAGCTCCACCTGCTGCAGCTATGGTACCAGCGCAGCCTGGCTTCGGCATGGTGAGCACATCTGTTTGGTTAAAGAGCATTTATAAACAAAGACAGTAATTACAAACCACTAAAATATCATTCTGACTTAGATCTACCTGTGTTGAATGAAGTTTTAAATCTGAAATTTTTTATTGAATAACTCCTTTAATAAATACAGAGGAGTGGAGGGGGGTTCATACTATTCCGTCCCAATCTAATGAGATTTTCTGATCTTCTCAGTCCCCTGCAGGAGGACCTGGGGCCCCAATGATCCCCCCTATGATGGGGCAGCCTTTGATGAGCCAGTCCATGATAAGACCTCCATTTACAGGCGTGACTGGAGCTGCACCTGGAGCACCGGTAACTCAAAACACATACTGTAACATGCTCACACACTGGTGATTACAGGGGCTTGAACAGAATGGTTGCTGCCACTGCCATCCCAGGTTAACATTTCTCTACATTTTGTTTAAATTTGAAAGTCCATCATCTCCTCTCTGCTCCCTTACTGGTTTTATCTGCTAAGGAAAATGTCACAATGAGCAGGTTTCAAGCCCTTGCAGACCCCACATTGATAGTCTCAACCCACTTCAGACTGTGTGCGTGCATGGGTGTGTGTTCAGTCACGCCACTCAACAATGGAAGGAAAAGAACTGTGTGGCTTAATAACTGAGACATTTTATAGAATCGAACAGATTAGACTATCATTCCCATGGAGGGGAAATTCACTTAGGGTACAGAAGTGCTACAACAGCACATACACTTAGAGAAAAAGGAAGACAAAAGATAATAACAACTTCTGTCTGTTCATTCTGTGTATTTGTCAACTTGCATTGCCATAGTAATTAGCTGAAACGTTAGCGATGCATGATAATTACAAAGTTACACACAAAAGTAGTGAGATAATAACCTTCAACCACAAAAAACTACAAATAAAAAGTAAACTTGGGTTTCCAGAACTATACAACAGAGGTGTGGACTCGAGTCACATGACTTGGACTTTGGTCAGGCTCGAGTCATTATTTTAACGCCTTCTGACTTGACTTGATAAAATCAATAAAGACTTATGACTTGACTCTGACTGGAATGCCAATGACTTGCGACTTGAATCGACTTACATCTGTTGACTTGATGATGACTTGAGCATATTTGATATTTTAACACAAAAGTGGCACGACATGGACAAAATTCATAAATCATTCTTTGTTCTGGGTTTGATCTTGAACTGCTGAATTCAGCAGCACTTTGTTTATAATCAGTTTCAGTTGCACTTTCTGCTTGTTTGAGCAAATAAATGAAGCTTTAAGAAGCTTTATTTCTGGAATGTATTTATTATCATTGTCATTAAACTGAAGTTGGACAGATGACTTGAATATGACTTGACTTGGACTTCCACATTATTAAGTTTGGACTCGGCTTGGACTTGGTTGTCTTTGACTTGGACTTGATTCAAGACTTGACTAGATAGTCTTGTGACTTACTTGTGACTTGCAAAGCAGTGACTTGGTCACACCTCTGTTATTACAGCATAAGGGACATAGGCGTATTAATGTAAAGCCGGTAATGAACACATACTGAATGCTGCATAGATGTTATTGTGTACCAGGATAATGCCAGCACCAGTTAAACTGAGGAGTTATACGCTCTTACTGCAGAGGGGATGAATGACCTACGGCAGCGTGCTGTTTTACATCTGGGATGTCTCAGTCTGCCTCTGAAGGAGCTGTCCGTGGCTTCCACAGTGGAATGCAGTGTAGGTGGGAGGGTTTTCCAAGATGGAAGTCATCTTCCCCAGCACCCTCCTTTTACACATCTCCTTAACTGAAACTAGTTGGCACCCAGAACCAAGCTGGCTTTTTTAACTAGATTGTTCAGTCTCTTTCTGCCTCAGTCGGAGCTGCCTGAGCCCTTACAGGGTTATTCAGAAAGTCTTTCTTTGGTACCAGTACTTACTGAATATTTTTGATGAGAGAGGTATTGACTTTTTGCACCTGTCACCAGATCATAAGGGTCCACCATATTGGATGGCAAATGCATAGTAAACAGCGGGCATGGGTAAGCCCAGTTCAGTTATTGTACACACCTAGGTGGGGCAACAGTGAATTACAGGAGTGTTGAACGGAGGGAAAGGTAGTGCCTAAGGTTTTTATTTTTTTGCCAGTTTAACCTGGTTTCTTCTGGTTCAAGCCCAGTTCCCTTGTGGGAAGAGTTAGCACACCTAGGTTGGTAGAGAGCAGTATTTACAAAAGTTAAATGTTAGCTAGCTTATGAACGTTAGCATACGTTCTCCTTGCTGCCACTCACCTATGTAAACAAGTTGCCAACTTTGCCAGATTTCATCCCGCTGGATTTATAAAATTGTGTCAGCAACAGCATTTTACTTTGCACTGGAGCGGATTAAAAACAAACTAAAAAATCCGGATCCATACCAGATTTTGTCGCTGGTGGGGTCACCAGGTTCAACTACTACTCACACCGGGGTGAGACAACACTCATCATGCTAAATAAATCATTTTAATTTTCACACAAGTAATCCTACATTGAAACAATATTATTATAATAAATAATTATCACTATAATAAAAGTTCAGTAGATGACAGCAATGCACATCCTCCATGGTGAAAAATAGAATTATCAATATATAAACATCACATTTGTCACTTCCGGTCCATCACAGTCAGTCCCTGTCTTCCTCATGAAATATACGAACATTAATTTTACCCATTAAACCATGTTCACTGCAAATCTGAAAATACTTTGACGGCTATTATCCATGCAGTTAATTCCTGTTTTCAGTCTCCATCAAAGTTATTTAGAAAAAGACAAGTTGGGTCTTGTCTGTGAGTGTAGTCAACCGCACAACAGACTAGTACATCTTTACTGTGAAATCAACTAAATAAAAGCAATAAAAAGTAACAAACTGGCTTGTTTTGACTAGCTTGAATGAAGTGTCAACCTGTGTAAACAGTCGTTCTACCGTCCATAATGGCTAAGGGGGTCATGAACAGCTTGACGTCACGTGTGATGAGTCAATATCGTTTCGGTACCCATCCCTACTTCTGACTGAGCCAGGACATTTTGTGTCATTTATTTTACACATCCAGGATTTTTTCCCAAGTTGGGTTAGGTGGGGAAGCGTATGGCTTGCAGAAGACTTGAGCTAATGCAGCGACACATTGGTGCATTTGGTAATTTTTGGGGGGTATTTTGTGTTCTTTTTGAATTATTTATGGCTATGTTCATCTGATTCTAGCTCTTAAATGACAACACATCCTTTGCTGTAAAAAATACTTTTGAGCACAAATGTTAGTTTCTGGTTTTATGAAAGATGTGTTTTTCTGGTTCTTACAGATTTCTGCAGGATCTGCAGGCCAGAGCCCCAAGAAGCCCAAGGACCCTCTGGCAGACCTAAACCTCAAAGACTTCTTATAATGGCCCAGGTCAGTGTGAAGACTTAGATCCCAGTTTCATCTGTATCCACTCATTTGTTATGTTAGAGCCCTTCAACGTGTCTTTGGTCATAAAATTAGAATATCATGGCACAGTTGATTTATTTCAGTAATGCCATTCAAAAAGGGAAACTTGTGTGTTAGAGTCATTCATCACAGACTGATATATTTCTAATGTTTATTTATTTTGATTTGTATTATTATAACTATTATATTATATTATATCGTATCGTATCGTATCGTATTGTATTGTATCATATATCATATCATATCATATCATATCATTATGATATCATATCATATTATATTATATTATTTGTATTATACAGAAAAGGTTTTTCTTTACCTTACTCACATTTCGTTTGCGACTGCAAACATCTTCAGAGCTGACGCTGATGGTGGCGTCACTTCCTACTCTGTTTATCCGCGGGCAGCAGAGGACGTTGTCGCCCTCTGCTGCCCGCTCTCCCCTCTTCGATGATGCAGTCCCATCTGCGATCCAATGAGGAAACTCCATCGTCTCTCTTCACGGTCCCGCATCCACGGTGCCCCGGTGACCCACGTCCGGGCGAGGGAACACGGTTTCCATTTATATAATTCATCATAAGAGGTCTTCGGGCTGCTGTTTGTCTGATCCCTCACCTAGGACCTGTTTGCCATGGGTGACCCTACCAGAGGCAGAAAGCCTCAGACAACTTAGCTCCTAGGATCATTGAGACACTCAATCCCCTCCACCATGGTAAGGTGGCAGCCCAGGGAGAGGGCTGCCACCTTACCATGGTGGAGTCGTTTACAAAATCCCATGCAAACTCTGCAATAAAACATACATATAGGAGAAACCGGACGCCAACTCAACACACGAACAATAGAACATAGAAAGGAGTGCGAGAAAGAAACAAGTCGAAGACACACAAGAGCAGCAAAAGAAGAAGCAGAAAGCACAATAAAGAAATCTGCCGTAACAGATCACTGCACAAGAGAAAACCATATAATGGACTGGGACAACAGAAGGATCATAAACACCGAACAACAGAAATACAAAAGATGGATAAAGGAAGCTATAGAGATAAGGAGACGTGGATGTGGGACTATGAACAGAGACGATGGAGTCTACTCATTGGATCGCACATGGGACTGCATCATCGGAGAGGGGAGAGCGGGCAGCAGAGGGCGACAACGTCCTCTGCTGCCCGCGGATAAATGGAGTAGGAAGTGACGCCACCATCAGCGTCAGCTCTGAAGATGTTTGCAGTCGCAAACGAAATGTCAGCAAGGTAAAGAAAAACCTTTTCTGTGTTTAAAAAGAAACAACAATGGAATTAGGAGACAAATACAGCAAGAACGTACTAAAGATATATTATATTATATTATATTATATTATATTATATTATATTACATTATATTACATTATATTACATTATATTACATTATATTATATTTATTATATTATGTTACTATTATTAACTAATGAAAATCGCAAATTTAGTATCTCAGAATATTAGAGTATTAATTAAGACCATTGCACTAAATGGAATTTTAGAAATGTTGGCCATCTTAAGTGTGAACATGAACATATTTAAGTGGGGCTCCTTTGGCTGGGATTATTTGCTGCAGCAATGTGGCGTGGCCTGGAGTTGATCAATCTGTGGCACTGCTCAGGTGTTAAGAGAGCCCATGTTGCTTTGATAGTGGCCTTCATCTCTTCTGAAGTGTTGGGTCTGGCACATCTCCATAAAGTTGGCCAGCAACTTCCTGGTAGACGATTGCGCTGACCTTGGAGCTCAGAAAACACAATGGACCAACCCCAGAAGATGACATGGCACCCCAAACCATCACTGACTGTGGAAACTTTACACTGGATCTCAAGCAAAGTGGATTCTGTGCCTCTCCTCTCCTCCAGACTCTGGGACCTTGATTTCCAAAGGAAATGCTAAATTTACTTTCATCAGAGATCACAACTATGGACCACTCAGCAGCAGTCCAGTCCTTTTTGTCTTTTGCCCAGGTGAGATGCTTATGAGGCTGTCTGTTGTTCATAAGTGGCTTGACACAAGGACTGCAAACTGAAACTCATGTCATGCATACGTCTGTGTGTGTGGTGGTTCTTGTAGCACTGACTCCAGCTGCAGTCCACTCTTTGTGAATCTTCTCTATGGTGCAGTTATCTCTATAGCTTGTTCCCCTTTTTCTACCACATCTTGTCCTTGCCTTTGCCCCTTTATTAATGTGTAGCCTAAAGAACTAGACTGAGACCATTTAAAGGCTTTTGCAGGTGTTTTGAGTTGATTAGCTGATTAGAGTGTGGCACGAGTGTGGCACTCATCGAGAGGAGCCATTTGAGGTGGCTCGGGCATCTGGTCAGGATACCTCCTGGATGCTTCCCTGGTGAGGTTTTCCAGGCACGTCCAACCAGTAGGAGGCCTAAAGGGAGACCCAGGACATGCTGGAGGGACTATGTCTCTCACCTGGCCAGAGAATGCCTTGGGATTCCCCTGGAACAACTGGCCCAAGTGGTTGGAGAGAGGGAAGTCTGGGCCTCTCGACTTAGGCTACTGCCCCCACAACCCGACTCCGGATAAGCAGATGAAAATGGATGGATGGATGGATGGATGGATGGATGGAGTCTGGCACCAGGGGTTTTCATTGTTGAACGTTTTTACAAGATTCTAACATTCTGAGATACTGAATTTGGGATTTTCATTAGTTGTCAGTTATAATCATCAAAATGAAATAAACATTTGAAATTTATCAGTCTGTGTGTAATGAAGGAATCTAATATACAAGTTTCAATTTTTGAATGGAATTACTGAAATAAATGTCACTTTATGACCAGAACCTGGACGTTATTTGCCTGTTTGCATTAGACCGGTTTTCTGTTGTGTAAACATTTATGTTAACACATGTCCTGTCCCCAGCTGCTTACCTCTCTGGAACAGTGCCCACTCCAACTCCTGCCTGGTGTCTGTGAACATCTCAGAATACCAGCGATGTCCAGCTGATCTGCTCTCTGCCACCGCCGCCCCCTCTACTTCCTTTGTGATGTTGTAGCACAAACTGTGAAAGTGAATCGTAGTGGATTATCTACAAATATATGAGGAAAAACAAGTCCATGCCTGTGCTTATGTGGCCGTACTAATCTTTTTGTCTTAACAAAATCTCAGAAAACTCAACAAAAAACAGAAGTCCAGAAATGTACGAATCGGAAAGTGGAGGACTAAGTGTTTAGACTGGTTTTTAGAGATGATTGATTGATGTTCTTTGGTGTCTTACGCTCCACCCCTTCCCCATCATTGTCTCCACCTCCTTTTGATAGGGGAGGGGTTCCTGTTGTCCTTTTTTTGATCAGCTGAGAGTGGTAAACAAATCCCCAGTAGATAATGCTTTGGTGGGGGAGAACTGCACGGTGTTTACAGAAAGATCCTCTTTATTGTAAATAGATTTCTCTGGCGAGGATTACGTCTTTGCTCTGTACGTCTGTTGAACTGTTGAAACTGTAAGAAGATGTGTGAGTATCTTTCTGTTTGCCGTCATCTCTTTAAAGTATCTGAGATCATAAGGATTAAAAATGTGTATATGTAGAAACAACCCCTGTGGGCTTCTCTGAGCCATAAAAGACCAACAAGTGATCCTTCCTGTCATTTTTTTTATTGTGTGTTATTTTTCTGTTATTGTTTTGGTTCTGTGAAATGTAAACCATCATCCAGACTGCTGTGGATGTTTGCAGGCTTTGTATTTAAACAACACATGAAAACTCATTCACTAAATGTTTTAATTACCCTTCCTAGGGGCAAATTGGAACTTTCTTTCCGTACAAATTCAAAACTGTCTACTTGATTGTCAGCAAAGTAATTCTGTTTAGTATTTATTTCAGGCAGGTCACAAGAGCAAACCTTAACTCATTCAGCATTTTAAACATTCAAGTATAACCCCAAAACAAACCCAACATCTAGCTGATTAACCAACATGCTGATCCTGGGAGGAGTGGAAAGAGAGGAGATTTTTCTTCTCAGTAAACAAGTCTCACAAAAACAGTTTCCCAGTATAACAAAACACACACACCTCCTTTATCCATCTAGATTCAGCCCCACACAAACAGTCTTTGGCCTCCAGTTCAAAGTCATTATAGGAAGTGAAACTGTTATTTAAAACGGGACAAGTCTTCAAAACGCCATTTTAAAGTAAGCAGTCCTTCACATGGCAACAGAGGCAGCATCGTTTTGTAGTTGCAAAGTAACATCAGCTACCGTGGCTGCTGATATGTGCTTGCTGAGGGAGATTACGTTCTACACCAAACAAAAGCTACCAAATAACAAAAGGAGGCTGTTGAAGATACTGGAGACCCCACCCCCAACATTACAGAAAGAACCAGGACTCTTGGTGCAACCAGGCAAAATCCAGCAGTAGAGCTATGAGGTGACTTGACTTTCAGAACTGTCATAAATGCTACTGCACACCTTTTCTGCAGAAAGGGAAACCATAAATACCAACGATTTGGTCACATTAATCAAAAGTCAGGTTTATTCAGTCTCACAGCCCAGCAATAGATTTTTCTTGTCCGGTTGTCTAATTCTGTGTTGCCACATCCAGGAGATGTGTGGAGAACGCCACTGGGATTTACTACTGAACCGTCAGAGATCATCAGATGCACCTCTTGTGTTTTCCTGCTGATCTTCAGTGGAATCAAAGTGTTCTGAGTGTTAACATGCATTTGGACCTTTGTGCTGTAAACTTTTCTGTGTGTGTGTGTGTGTGTGTGTGTGTGTGTGTGTGTGTGTGTGTGTGTGTGTGTGTGTGTGTGTGTGTGTGTGTGTGTGTGTGTGTGTGTGTGTGTGTGTGTGTGTGTGTGTGTGTGTGTGTGTGTGTTCTCTGTCATGTTTGTGGATTGGTTGTGACAGTAAATAATGGGAGATTATTGCTTTTTTCATGACTGAAAATTGCAAATTGTTGTATATTTATTTTCTTTACAGTAGCCACTCCCAGTGCATGTTAAACCCCTTGAGATGCAATAAATTGGATGACGGATTAATCTGCTTTTTCATGTTTTCCTTTATTGTTATTTTAGAATACATACATTGATTATGTCTCAATTAGCACACAGGGTATTTGATTATGAACTGGACAGTAAATATATGTGAACAATGAATTTATAAAATATTTTCTTTTATTTGATGCAATATGCTAACTTTATTTAATTATACAGAAACAAGACTTTATTACTAATTCTGTAAAACAACAGTTAAAATAGTATATGTTCAGTTTTCTCACCGTTTGCTGCTTGAAATTTTGTGCCAAACATCAAATAGCGTTTCTTTCTACCCTAATTATGTTGGCTTTCAGTAAAGCTTTATCTTCAAAAAATTACACTTTTTAACTTAATCGCTGATACATCTGACCTAACTTTGTTCTCTAGCTTTTTTTTTACAACCCAGTCAAAACACAAGGTGTTTGGACTTATTCTTACTCTAGAGCTGACTTTGAGGTAACTATCTGCATTTTTGAGGGTCTGAAAGGTACATCATGATGCTAATTAGGAAAAAGTACACGTGTACTATTAATCATTCTAAATGTTGTGTAATGTCTGTTTGAGGGGAAGTTTTTTTGTTACATATTTCTTTTTAAGAAATGTTTGGATAACCAAACTTTTGTGGACAGAAACAAAGAACCGTCAGCTCTAATTCTTCACACCACAGTTTCAACAAAAAGTCAGTAACCTTGCGCAGATGTTCTGGTCCATACGGACATGGCAGCACCAGCTCCATTCATGATGAGACTCTTCTGTTCCACTGCATCCCAAAGGTCCTGGACTGGACTCAGATCTGGTGACTGTGGCAGTCACTGGAAACCAGTTAGAGATGATCTGAGCTTTGTGACATGGTGCTTTATTTTGCTGGAAGTAGCCATCAGAAGATGGTCCATGTGGTCATAAAGGGGTGGACATGGTCAGCGACAATAGGCTGTGGTGTTTAAACCAGGCTCAGGTGGTGCCAGGTGGTCCAAAGTAGGACAATAATATCTCCTCACACCATCATCTCTCACCAGCAGCTTGTCTGAAGCATTGATGCAAGGCAGGATGGATCTATACTTTCATGTTGGTCTCAAAGAATTCTGACCCAAATGTTGTAGCTGAGATCCATACTCATCAGAGCAGGAAAGCTTTTCCAGTCTCTACTGGTGACCCTGTGTGAATTGTATCCTCAGTTTCCCACTCTTGGCTGACAGGAGAGACACCTGGTGTGGTCTTCTGCTGCTGGAGTCCATCTGCTTCAAGGTTCATCATGATGTGGTTCAGAGATGCCCTTCTACAGACCTTGGTAGGAAACAGTGGTTGTTAGATCTGCTGCTCTGTCATCTAGAGCCAGTCTGCTCTGACATCAAAGACATTTTCTTCCACACACCTGCTGCACACTGGAGATTCCCAGGAAACCATGAAGATGGTTGTGGGTGAGAATCCCAGATCAGCATTCTCTGAAATATAACCATTCAGCAATGGTTCTTCTCCCTCCTGTTGTTGGTTTGAATTTCAGAAAGTCTTGTTCCCCACATTTAGTTGATCACCAGCTACAAACCAATACATTATTTGGTGGATGGTCAGTAATCAACAGTCTAGAGTTGTTTTCTTTTTAATTAAAATAACAAGATATGCCAAAAGTTGTTTCATTCTGATTTTAACTCGTTATAAACAATGTTGTAGTTTTAAAAATCTCATTTACACTTTTAAAAACAGGGAAATATAAAGAGCTCAGGTACATAACTAAATGGTTCAGTCCCATTGCTCCAAAGCCTCACATTAAATCCTAAGGTACAGTTTCAAGCCATCAAAATATTTTCTAAGAAATCTTCGAAAAAGAAGAAAAAAGACTTTACAGTCTCATAAATTAGCACCATGGTTTTCAGGGGATGGTTATGTGCACAGCAATGAAACCACATTTCACTGTGTTGCAAACAGAAAGTAGGACAAATCAAATCAGACAACAACAAACTTCACTCTGCAGCCTCTAAGGACCCCTTTCTCTCTCTAGATAGAACATTTGACTTGATAAAGTAAAGCAACTAATAAAAAGTTCTAGATATACAAAAATCATAAAACCACCTAGTCTTGTAATTTGTTTGTACACAGATCAAAATGCAAATCTCATGTCAATCATTTAATGCCTAGTAGGTATAAAAAAGTAGCAACATTTAAAGCTAAAGTCCATCCAGCGCAGTCCTTTATAGTTAGAGGATTTTTATTAGATGGGTTTAGGTCTAGTAGGCCTGGATGACCCTCTGTGTGCTCAGACTTTAGAGCAAAACTTTTAAGATGGGGGTCCAATGATCAAGTTATCATAGATATTTATTTTAAATTTAAACTTGCAAAAGTTATTTTATCATTCAGTTTTTATTTGCACTGCCCAAACGTAGGCGTCATAATAATAAAACCTGACATGAAATGTTAAAAGTGTGGATCAACATCAACATCCTGCTGGAGAGAAAAGATTCAACTGTTAGAGAAATGCAACAAGGGCCCAAATGGCCCCGGGTCTCTCGTTAGATGCCTGCAGCCTGATCTCTTCGGACAGCTGTGATGCAAATGAAACAGCTCCCTAAGGCCATCTGATTAGGGACGCATAGGCCCCTCACACATCCAGCTCTGGGTCGCCCTGTAGGGGGCAGGCTGCTTCTAATGAACTTATAATTTAAAGCACAAGGTGCACTTTGACCTTTGACCCACTCTGGATGGCTTCCTAAAATCATCGTAAACATTGTTTTCATACAATTCAATTTACCCCTAAAAAGAAACAGAGGTCAACATGAACATGCAGAATGGAAAAATCCTTTATAGATATTTATTTTCTCAGAACTTTTCTCAAACAAATAAATTATAAAAAAGTTTTCTTGACATAGTAACGAGTTGGAGTTAGGTTTGCTTGGTCACGTGCGAGTTTATGTTGATCAGTGTTGCTGAGTCATATGAAGAGAACAGGAGGGAGAGGTCCGAGGAGATGAAAGGCGTGTCATCTCAGGCTGCCCGACACTCACTCGTGTCCCCGTGGACCCAGTAGCAGATCTGAGCATATTTGAGGGGCGTTATCCTCACAGCTACATTGTAATCCTGCTGCTCCCCGTTCCTATTAACATCCACCCACTGGTGACCAGAGAAAACGCCAATAATCTTTCTTTTCCACTTCTTCTTGCCTGGCTCTTTGAGGCAGATGTAAACTCCAGAGCCGCTGGAGCCGGGTTTGGCATCGCAGTACTGATAGAACAAGTCACTGGATTCTTCAGACACGGAGCAGAACCGGTACACCAGGTTACCCGGTCGGTCATCATCAAAGCCGGAGAAGTGGATCCTCCCAGCAGGAAGCTCCTTCACTGAGGGAATGATACCCAGGTCCATGAACTTCACTTTTGGGGCTTTCTTTAGCTCCAGAACAGCGTAGTCGTAGTCTGCAGCCAGTCCATCAGCGACACCTTTGAACCAGCCCTTAGGAACCTGGGTCTGTTTGACTTTGGTCCACTTAAATGAAGGTTTCCCAGATTCCACACTTCGACGACTCCGGCTCTTCCTGTATTTTCCTTTTCCTTTACGGTCCTTTTTCCCACCATTGTCATCCTTTTCCGGCACTTCTTCGACTGTTTTCTCTCCTTTTCTTCTTTTGCCCTTTTCTCTCCCTCCTCTTCCTTTGCCTTCTTTCCCTCGTCTGGTCTTCTCCTTCAGAATTCCAACTCGTAGCTTCTGAACTCCATCCAAATAGTCCGTCCCATCATGGATGCAGTGAGCAGCTGTCAGCACGTGTTTAGGTGTAATCAGAACTCCAGAGCATCCTGTGGAGATCTTCACAGAGGTGGAGAAGGGATATTTGGTGGAGTACTGTTTATCGGTGATGGTGAAACGGGTGTCAGTGCCGTACACCTCTCGCTTGTGGCGGGAGTTAGACGATGCGTTTTTGGACCAGACCATTTCCTCGTTGAGGCCATGGACTGAAACGGAGGTATATGTGCGTGTGCCATTCTCGTAGACCGTTTCATAGGACAGCAGCTTCTCCAAGTCGTTCAGAGTGGGTGAAGGAAGGTGGCGCTGGCACTCGATCCCACAGGTCCCACTCAGCTCATCCGGAGGGTGGGCTAAGAAGTTTGGGCTGCTGAGAGGCACGGTCCGCTTTCTCCTCAACAGTGGTACCTTCCATTGTGGCCAGGTGTACTGGTCATCGATGGTGTTGTCCGCAGCCACAGCCAGCACCATCATTTGCAGCAGGACACAAAGTGGTATGGGGCCCATGATGAAGTGGGACGTAGCTCTGAAATGAAACAGAATATGATTAGATAATTTGTTTAAGTTTAAGTATTCCTGTGTTGTGATTACACATCCGTCTGAAATACTTTTGGTTTTCCTTAGTTTTCACTGAAAACTCAGGAATACCCAAAACTTGAAGCAGTTCCATTTAGAGCCACAAGGAGGCCTCGTTGCCCTTTCATTCAAAGAGACATTTAACCGAACTCATGGCAGATCAGCTGAGTGTGAACTCACGCACCAGAGTGTGGGTGGACATGTTTTTAATCGTGCAAGTCAGTAACACTCGGGTTTAATTTTCCTTGAGCGTTAGCAGCGTTTCTCTAGAGCTGAAATTTTAGCCGTGTGGAACGGGAAGATTTTTGTTCTCGGAGTCTGGCTGGAGGCGGCGAGGAGAAGCTGAACCTGAATCCTCTGAATGAGCTGAGACATCGGCTTGGAGGTTTGCCACAATGGTTAACCTTCTCCCACTCTAATGACCATATCTGGTTTCCTCTCGCTCCACGAGACTCCTCTCTCCGGGTACACACGACATCAGAACACAGCCATGCTTCTAAGAGTTGAGTTATCCTGATAACTGTATAAATCTGGGCGTGTTTTAATAGAAACCACAGACTTTTCCCTGAACAACAGAGAAGGAGATCCAGGCTGGTAATGAAGTCACACAGGAAATTTCAAACACAGGGAGTGAACCTAAATGAAGAAGTTTGAATCCAACAGTTAATTGTATGCAGAAGCTAAATAAATAAAAGAAGTGCAGCTTTTATTTGTGCATCAAGAGGTTGAACCTTTCGGGGGAGGGGCGTATGGATTGACCCAAGAGGTCATCAGACACGCATTCCTTTATAATCAGATGCTAATGAAGTTTGAAAATGAGACATCTGCTTTGGTAGAGCTCCCAGGAGACTCAGCTGAGAAATACCTCAGTCACATCGTCACCTGTGGATCAGATGAATTCTTTACTCCTCTTTCCTTTATTGTGTTTTCATAACTCTGCTGCCATTTAACCAACTGTGACAGCAGAATGTGACATTTTGGGCTGGGGTTTACCACGCAGCAAGCAATAAAACATACCCAGTGGCCAACTTCTGACCAGAGTACAACAGACGGTGATAAAACACGTGCCCACAAGAGCTGTAAAAGAGGCCCAATAAACGAAAATACAAACGTGACCTTTAGTTTCTGTTCAGCTTCACGCTCCCACTGTCCACTGCGGAGGGGGCGAGGCTGCACTGAGTCAGCACGAAACTCGTGTGAGTGTTTCCACTGCAGTCAGCTGAAGAGGAGGATGAAGCCTTTTCATCCCTGGACCAGGAGACAAACTCACCAAACGGTGGTGCTGTTTGGTCCTGCTTTTCATGCAGCTCTCAGTGCAAGGATCCGTTATTGCTACTGCACTTATTTTATATGAAGATGGATGTAATCATTTTAAACATTATTTTTCCAGTTCTGCATAAAAATAGACTTTTTTGGCCAAAGTTCTGACAGAAGGAAGAAATTCAAACTAGTGAGAAAAAAAAAGAAACCACATTAAGTTTATTTCACTTCATTAGTTGAGTATTTACACATAACTATAAATGTACACTGACATCACCATCTGCGGATTCTCAGCCTGGCCTGAGTATATTTGGTAGTCACGCATGATGTCAAAATAAATATAAACATATCCCAAACATTTTAATTAGATAACAGAACAATCACGCTAATTGGTCGAAGACTCCTAAAATAGTCTGTGTGAACTAAAAGTCTCAGGTCAACACAGAGTGAAGAATGTTTTTATTTTAAAGTGATAACTATAAATAAATCAATAAAACTACAGACAAGCGGAGTAAAGCAACACAAAGAACGCCTGCTTCCATCAGCAGACAGCATATAGCAGGTAAGCCTACCTGCTCGCATCCGACTGATGGATTCCTCCAAATCCGAGGTGTGTTTGTTTGGTTTTCTCAGAAACACACAAATATGATCCGGGTGGAAACCACAACGTGTCACAGCATCCCAGACGTCCCGGGTCCAGCAGTGCGACGGCTGCCTCCTCCTCCTCAGAGCTCCTTCATGGAGTCTGAGAGAAAGTCGCAGCCGGGACGCTCGGCCAAGGCTGCGCTTAGAGCTGAGGAGGGACGGAGGGAGGGAGGCGGCAGAACCGAGGGGGGAGGAGGGAATATGAAAGAAACTTTGTTTCTGCTTGTGACAAAAGCTGCCCATAGAAATGGGTTTGTGGGTGGGGGTGAAATCTACTTTGTGAAGTTAGATCCATTCGGATGCAGACCAGCGCGCTGCTTTAATTCCCGTCTCAGGCTGCAGCTTCAGGGGGAGAATAAAGCTTTGAGAGGGCTTTCAGTGAGACAAGCACTGGTCTCCAGTTTCTGCCCCTTTGTGTGGCGTGTGAGCCTCAACATCTGCAGCGTGAGCCTGCTTACGAGGGCAGTGAAGTGGAACTTGGTGGATGATCTCCTCATCTACCTATAAAACAGCATGAGGCTTGATAATAACATGAGATAAGGGAATTCCTTAAATCCCGGTTTGAAACTCAAACTGGAAATAATGAAGATTGTAAGGAGCTTTTATTGTTGATGCTGTCATGGTCCGTGGTGAGCTGCCAGCCTGTAACTCTGTTTTCTCCTCTGAGCATTGTTTTCACAGGTGGGCGTGTCTGAGAGCTCCCAGTTGCAGCTGATTTCACCATCAAGGCCCAGGGGATTTAAGGAGCAGCGTGACACTTCACCACGCCGGATGATTACTCAGTTTGGGTAGCTCTAGCCTCCAATCTGATTTTTGAGATTTGTATTCTGCTCTTGTTAACCTGCCGCCTGAAATAATCCTTAATGCCCTTCCCTACTCTCCTCCAGGTTCCTCTTCATCTCCTCCAGAACAAACCCGGATATCTGCATTCCTGACCACACTGCTTCATCCCCTGTCCGCCCGCTCTCAGCCGCTCACCTGCCGTCAGCCATTCCTGCTCCTACGCTTCTGGATAAACCAATTCCCTCACCTTTGGATCTCCTCAGCTCACCCGGACCTGACAACCCTCCCTGTACATTTACCACTACCAAGAAACCGTAAGCCCAGCCTCCAGATAAGTTTCCATTATTTCCACCTCATATTCACTCTGTCTCCCTGCTCGGAATCTCCTCCTGGAATCCTGCTGCCAGTCCTGCATTTCGCCGGTTCCCGTCTCTCCCGTTGCTCCTTATTTAGTAATAAAAACCTTTTTACTTACCTTCCTGCTCTCCGTGTTGTGATTCTGCATGTCGTGGGTCAAGAAACTGCCACCCACCATGACAAATGCCAAATGTGTCACTGTTTTCTTCCTAGATTCCCACTAACCAATAGCCCTGCACACCTGGACACTCCTTTTCTCACTTCTACCAGAGAGCTCCTCTGGTTGACACAACATCTCGGAGCACTTATGAGGCCGACCGGAGACGCTTCATTTAAAAGGGAAATAACTAAAAGGGCTATGGACAAGAGGAGCAGAACACTTAAAAAAGACATGGAAGGTGTGTGTGTGTGTGTGTGTGTGTGTGTCACACACATGGTCCATGTTACTGTACATGATTTTTAAAGGGTCTGACCAGTGGCCAGTGAAAACACACTTCAGGATCTGTAAACACACAAGCACCTGGCAGTCTTCTTGTTGGACTGTAAGCTGTTGAGCATGTTTATTGATTATCTTTAATATGACACGATCATAAATGTAATAAGTGTCACTAAAGTAGTTGCTGTAGATCACTGAACATTACAAAGACCTAAAATCAGACAGCAAGCATTTTTATTTCATTTGCTCTGAGAACATGTATTTAAACAATTTCACACTTACTAAAGTAGCCTGAAATGACTGATTTTACAAAATGTAAATGAGTGTTTTATCAAACAGTGTTTAAATCTTTATCTCTAGGTTTGAACCTGTAGTGAACAAATGTGACTTCCTTGCTGATGCTTTGGCACCTCCATCGTTTAAGAAAATACTTAGATTTTTACAGTGTTGCATTAGACCAGGACGGTACAGGTTTTAGTTCTTGTTTACTGTATTCTCTGCAGTTGTATTAATATATGGTTAATTTTTATTGTTTTATTTTTTATTTTTTTAAGTTTTCCGATAGGAGCTCAAGTCACCAAAACTGAACAAACTCGTCAGAACTTTAACTTTTTGGACTTTTCACTTTTTGAAGAATCTATAACAGTTTATTAGTCTAGGTTTGTCTAACCTTTCATTTCTGTAAAACAAAACCAAATAATAAATCAGTTGCTGAATGACCCATGCACTCCCATTCGTTCTGACTAATGTGTTGAATGGATTCTCTTGCTTAGAGGAGCAGCTTATGAGCAGATAAGTGTGTAAGTAATATTGGGGCAATGGTGGCTCAGGGGTTAGAAGTTCTCCTTGTAATGGCTGAGTTGCCGGTTCAAACACAGGCTCTGTCCATGTCAGCTGATGTGTCGTTAGGCAAGACACTTCACTCTCCTTGCCTGTTGGCAGTGGCTGGAGGGACGGGTGGCACTGATTGTTTGATGCCCTGGAGCAGCTGTGGTTATCACCAATAGTGTGAGAATGAAAGTTCACTGAAGCGCTTTGTAGACTTGGAGTAAAGCCATACAAATGTGCAATATATATTTATATTTGTTAGCTATTCTATTACTGGGATTGCATGGTGATGCAGCTGATAGCATGGTTGCCTTGCAGAAAGAAGGTTGCAGGTTCAAACCCCAGCTTCAGCATGTGGAGAGTTAGAATGTTCTCTCCATGCATGTATGGGTTTTCTCCAGGTCCTTGGTCTCCTCCCACAGATCAAAAACATGAATGTCAGGTTAGCTGCTGTGAGTGTGTCAGTGGTTACTTGTGAATGTTTCATCACTGAAAATGCACAAGGGGATGTAAACAAAGATATGAGATTCTTGGACATCTGGACTGACTCTGACATGTCCAGTATCCTGCTTGATGCACCCTGACTGTATCTCGCCCAACACCACAATAAAGTGTAATCACTGGACACAGTTTTCCATTAAATGTTTGGTCAAAAGTTGACAGAAACAAAAGCAAGGTAAAGAAAAATGGATGTGCTTGTGGCCCTGTGGCTTACAGCGAGAGACGTTGATGGCTGCTAAGCGGATGCGGGGCTTTTGGGTTGGACATCACATCCTCTGTGAGGGTTCACCCTTTGCCCTCTTTTCCAAAAGATGGATTTTTATTGTTGGAAAGGAACTTGAAAGTGTTTTTAGCAGCTGTGTTTGTGGTCTTATATCAGATGTTGAACGTGCTGCAGTAAAACAAGAAATGACTGGAATCTTGCAGCAAATTTATTGAAGTTTTTTGGCTCCTCTTGCAGCCCACCAGCATCATTAAAGGCAGTCAGGCGGCACGAACCCACAGCCTCCTTCCACAAGCTTTATTTTGACAGCTGAATGCATCTTTTAGCACTGCTGTGTGCTAAACAGACCACCATTGATCTGATGCAATTATCTCTCTTCCCCACACAAACACTGATACAGTACGACAGCAAACATACCTTAGTAGCTGTATAAACAACGGTGAGACAGTTAGTTAAAGGTCTCACTCAAATCTGTGTTCAGTTTGTCACCTTTTTATTACAGTAAATATTTGGATAAATGGTTACCATGCTGGCTCTCAGAGGCCAGACTGTACAGGATGAAAGGCTGACTGAGGCTGCGTGTGCACCTTTGAATCTCAGCTGAACAGGCAGCCACAGTCTTGTTGCAGATGATGGACCTGTGAAGGCAGGCCAAGGCACCGCCACATCCTGGAGAGAAAATACATTTTCATGTTCTTACCAGGGGCGGCGTTAGGCCCGGCTACTTGGGCTGAAGCCCCGAATGTTTTATGAAAAGCCCCCGATCTAAATCGTGGTAGTAACATGCAGTACCAAAGTCCAACAGAGAGGGAGCAGCTGGCAGTAGTTTGTATACAGCCTGTCTGAACCTCCACCACTGAAGAAGAAGCCCTTCAGCAGCCGGCTTCTTCTACAGTCTCTGCCTGAAACGCATGTGTGAAGATGGACATAAGGACGTTTTTTAGACAAAAAGTACAACGACAGAACCCCAGCTTTGATGAGACTGGTGTTGACTCGGGTTTGTGAGTCTTATTTGAAAATATTTGTTGTGCTGCTGGTTTGCCTAAAGTTAGCTTACTATCAGGTAAAGTTGCTGGAGAAAGAAAGGGAATATTTACTATCATCTCACACTAAACACTAACAGGAACAATACTCTGCCCTGAATATGCTTAAAATGTAGCTTCAGATTAAAAATTATGTGGTACAAGACATATATGATGTTGACTAGTGCGTGTCACTGTCATGGTCTGCATCTGCGTCTTCCCTCATGTGTCTCCTCGTGTCCTCCATCCCTCTCTAGGTTCCCATTTTGTGTTTCATAAGCGCCCTCATGTGTCCTTTGTATGCGTCTCATTTATGTGTCTTCTGTTGTAGCCCTTTAGATCATTCTTCCCAGGTCCTGTGTTCATTCGGTCATCCCCAGCCCCTCCAGGTGTTCCTTCACGTTCTGTGTCTTTGTAGCTCCAGCCTTTTTGTCCCCAGCTCCCTCCTGGTTTTCTTCATGCCTCTTAGTCTTCCCACCTCAGTTTATATAGGTCTTTATTCCAGTGTTTGTGTGTGTGTGCGTGTCTTTCCCCAGCTCGATATGTGTGTGTGTGTGTGTGTGTGTGTGTGTGTGTGTGTGTGTGTGTGTGTCCTTTCCTCAGTCTTTAGGTTTAGTTTTGTGTTTCATAGTTTTAGGTTTATTTGCCCTCCTCTGGTTCTGTTCCCCATTTAGTTAATTGTACTCACCTGCTTTCCCTCCAGCCCTCACTCCACACACCTGCTGCCTGTTTCCCTAATTGCTCCTCCCAGTCTATATAAGCCCTGTCTCGTCTCTGTGTTGTGTCGGTCCATTGTGATGTCTTCTGTCAGTCTGCCCGTTTCCCTAGTGTTTTTGGATCTCCTGATCATTTCCTGGATTTTTGGATTTTGGCTCCCTGCCCTTTTGGATTTATGTTCGCTTGAGTTCATCCTGTAAATAAAAGGATTTTTCTTTATATATCTACTCCTGCCTCGTGTCATCCTGGGTATCTGCATTTTGGGTCCTAACCATTCTCAA